CCCTACCCTACCCTACCCTACCCTACCCTACCCTACCCTACCCTACCCTACCCTACCCTACCCTACCCTACCCTACCCTACCCTACCCTACCCTACCCTACCCTACCCTACCCTACCCTACCCTACCCTACCCTACCCTACCCTACCCTACCCTACCCTACCCTACCCTACCCTACCCTACCCTACCCTACCCTACCCTACCCTACCCTACCCTACCCTACCCTACCCTACCCTACCCTACCCTACCCTACCCTACCCTACCCTACCCTACCCTACCCTACCCTACCCTACCCTACCCTACCCTACCCTACCCTACCCTACCCTACCCTACCCTACCCTACCCTACCCTACCCTACCCTACCCTACCCTACCCTACCCTACCCTACCCTACCCTACCCTACCCTACCCTACCCTACCCTACCCTACCCTACCCTACCCTACCCTACCCTACCCTACCCTACCCTACCCTACCCTACCCTACCCTACCCTACCCTACCCTACCCTACCCTACCCTACCCTACCCTACCCTACCCTACCCTACCCTACCCTACCCTACCCTACCCTACCCTACCCTACCCTACCCTACCCTACCCTACCCTACCCTACCCTACCCTACCCTACCCTACCCTACCCTACCCTACCCTACCCTACCCTACCCTACCCTACCCTACCCTACCCTACCCTACCCTACCCTACCCTACCCTACCCTACCCTACCCTACCCTACCCTACCCTACCCTACCCTACCCTACCCTACCCTACCCTACCCTACCCTACCCTACCCTACCCTACCCTACCCTACCCTACCCTACCCTACCCTACCCTACCCTACCCTACCCTACCCTACCCTACCCTACCCTACCCTACCCTACCCTACCCTACCCTACCCTACCCTACCCTACCCTACCCTACCCTACCCTACCCTACCCTACCCTACCCTACCCTACCCTACCCTACCCTACCCTACCCTACCCTACCCTACCCTACCCTACCCTACCCTACCCTACCCTACCCTACCCTACCCTACCCTACCCTACCCTACCCTACCCTACCCTACCCTACCCTACCCTACCTACCCTACCCTACCCTACCCTACCCTACCCTACCCTACCCTACCCTACCCTACCCTACCCTACCCTACCCTACCCTACCCTACCCTACCCTACCCTACCCTACCCTACCCTACCCTACCCTACCCTACCCTACCCTACCCTACCCTACCCTACCCTACCCTACCCTACCCTACCCTACCCTACCCTACCCTACCCTACCCTACCCTACCCTACCCTACCCTACCCTACCCTACCCTACCCTACCCTACCCTACCCTACCCTACCCTACCCTACCCTACCCTACCCTACCCTACCCTACCCTACCCTACCCTACCCTACCCTACCCTACCCTACCCTACCCTACCCTACCCTACCCTACCCTACCCTACCCTACCCTACCCTACCCTACCCTACCCTACCCTACCCTACCCTACCCTACCCTACCCTACCCTACCCTACCCTACCCTACCCTACCCTACCCTACCCTACCCTACCCTACCCTACCCTACCCTACCCTACCCTACCCTACCCTACCCTACCCTACCCTACCCTACCCTACCCTACCCTACCCTACCCTACCCTACCCTACCCTACCCTACCCTACCCTACCCTACCCTACCCTACCCTACCCTACCCTACCCTACCCTACCCTACCCTACCCTACCCTACCCTACCCTACCCTACCCTACCCTACCCTACCCTACCCTACCCTACCCTACCCTACCCTACCCTACCCTACCCTACCCTACCCTACCCTACCCTACCCTACCCTACCCTACCCTACCCTACCCTACCCTTTTTTTTTTTTTTTTTTTTTTTTTTTTTTTTTTTTATAGACAGGAAAAATGCGTTTACGCACACCCCGACCTGGTGTTGGTCGGCCGGGGTAGTGTGGGGCTCAGGCTTCAATACCCACTAAAAAACCTGTCTGCCTCCATCCAGCACAGGAACCGCCTTATTGGCATATCGTCTGTAGCTGGACCGGCTCTACTGTTGGTCTCCTCTTCCTCTTCTTCTGTAACCTTGCTTTTGCCTCTCTTTCTCCTCTTTTTCCTTCATTATTTTTTCAACCATACTAACTATAATCTTCCATTTTTCCCTGTTTTCCATCATAACCGCAGTTATATTCGCTGTCGTCAGTTCCACTCCCAGCTGTAATTCGGCTTCCCGTCTCCAGTTCGCCCATCGGGGGCAGGCCAATAGGGTGTGCTCTGCATCATCTGTTCCTTCCCCGCAATACGTACATGTCTCATCATCGTCCTTCCCGATCCTTTTAGTATAAGAACTGAAACTTCCATGGCCACTAAGCACTTGCGTCAGATAAAAGCTGTGATCCCTGTGCTTGCATTTCACCCACTCCCTAACATCCGGAATAAGAACTTTCGTCCACTGCGCTGTTGTCGTATGTTGGTCCCATTCAGCTTGCCATAGGCATAGAGTATGTTCTCTATTCGTGCGACGAATTTGTTCCTCGATACCTGTCCCTCCTTGGTGCAGCCTCTTTCTTTCTTCCACCATGAGGTGGATCGGTGTTACCCCCGCAATCACTTGAGCCGCATGTAAAGACACCGTTTTATATGCTCTTATGACTCTCAAAAGGCTTCTCCTTTGAACCGCTTCCATCATATTCCTTAATTTTTTAACCATCATAGCTTCCGCCCATACTGGTGCTCCGTATAGCAAAATAGAGTGCGTTACACCACATAGCATCTCCCTCTTCTTCCCTCTCGGTCCCCCGATGTTGGGTAGCAGCCTATTAATCTTATTGGCTCTATATTCGGCTTTTTCACACGCATACCGGATATGTTCCTTGAAACCGTCGCTTCCGTCGAAAATGATACCGAGATATCGGATCGACCTCTGGCTTTTAATTATTTCCCCTTTCATTCGAAACTCCACATTTTCCCTAACCCTTCCCCAGTAATGTCCCTTCAGGACGGTTGCCTCCGTTTTGTCGACTGCGATTTCCAGGCCATTTCTTGCCATCCAGTCATATATTATATCCAGCGAAAGGTTGGCTCTGTGCTTCAATTCCTCTACATCTGGAGCCTCGACTAATAGCGCCAAATCGTCGGCAAAGGCAATTGTCGTCACTTCCTCCGGTAGACCAATCCTCAATACCCCGTCGTATAAGACGTTCCACAGTATCGGTCCAAGGACCGATCCCTGTGGAACTCCCGCCGTTGTCCTGATCCTGCATTTCCCTCCTGCTATACTAATCCTTCTATTGCTCAGATATGCTTTTATCAGGTTTACTAGATACCCCGATACCTTGATCCCCTTGAGTGCTTCTATGATCTTTTTCCAGGACGCCATATTAAAAGCATTCTTCACATCGACGGTTATTAGGCCCATCCATCTACTAGTACCCTCCTTAATTCGCCTTTTTACCAACTCGGCGGCTTGTATTGTGGACCTGCCACTCCGGAAGCCAAACTGATTATCCGATATTGCCTCCCTCTCATCTAATTCAGCCACTAGCCTATCTTTGATCATATTCTCAATCAGCTTATCCATCGTATTTAGAAGACATATCGGTCTGTACTTAATATTCTCGTCTCGGCTCTTTCTCGGCTTAGGAATCAATATCAGCTTGGCCTCCTTCCACGCGTCCGGAAAGCTCTGCGTTCTCAGCACCTCGTTGGCCGCCTCCAACAGTATTCCAGGGTTCGTTGTTGCCACCAATTTCAATGCCTCGGCGGGTAACCCGTCTGGCCCAGGGGCTTTTCCACCTTTCGTTCTTCTCACAGCCCTCTCCAAGTCCTCAATATCGAACAATGGAAACTCCCTCTGCTCTTCCCTATATGTTTCCAACTCGTCGCCGTCCAATCTAAAAAGTCCTTTTGCTGTCTCCACCGTCTGCTCTAGGCTCATCCTTGTCGGCGATTGTACGTCGAATTTACCCATCACGATCTTGTATCCGTCTCCCCATATATCACCTTCTAATTCCTCGCAGAGTTTCTTCCATTCTTCTCTCTTTGCCCTTCGTATCATCCTGGTCAAGGTTTTCTTCATATTTCTATAACTAACCTGTAGTTCCTCCCGTACTCCTTCCAATAAGGGTCCTTGCGCTGCCGCCCTAGTTGCCTTTCTTCGAGTTCGAATGCATTCTGTACGTGCCCTCTGTATATCCTCATTCCACCAGAAAGGGGTCTTCTTTTCTTTCTTTTTCGTTCTTCTTGTGTTGTTCCGGTACGCATCTCCGATTATTCTCATGCACCTCTCTACAGGATTTCGACCATCATCCGATGTCATTACTCGTAATTCCACCTCGAGTTTGAATGACTCCCAGTCGACAGAATTCAGCATCTTCCACCTGCTTGGTTTCTCCGGCGCTCTTTCTTTTATCCTAAAATATATGTATGGGTGGTCGGTCAGATTTTCCTCGCTTAATACTTCCCAATCCACTATCTTACGAGCTATACGTTCCGTGGCACACGTAATGTCTATGTAAGACGCAACGTTCCCCCTCACATATGTCGGCTTTTTCCCATCATTCAAGACCACTAAGTCAAGCGTTGCCAACCACTCTGTCAAGTATTCTCCCCTATGATCGGATTTTGGTGAGCCCCATTGAGGCGCCTTGGCATTGAAGTCACCAAGAAGGACGAATTCCCCTGGTATCTTTAGACAAAACTCTGCGATACGATCCAAATCCCTTCTGAATACCTCCTTGCTAACGTTTGGAGACAGGTAAACACAAACTATACTAAACTTTCCCACATTAACACACACAAAACCCTCCCCCTCTGTTATACTAGCTATTTCAATATTACGATTGTTGCACAAAATTGCGACGTTTGCTCGCCTATCCCTAATCCATCTCCCCCCCTCAGTAATTTTAACATTAGGTTCACTAACCACTAGAATATCTATATCTTTCTCAATCAGCACTCTATATACCAGATCGTGTGCAGCCCTTCCCCTTCCCAAGTTTGTTTGTAAAATTTTATAACCCTGCATTATCATTTATATAACCCGTTTCTGCCGCCTCCGTTACGGGTGACTTATCGCCTACTTGGTTATTACCCCTAACCGAGTCCTTTGATATCATTCGTGATAGCCTTCTTCTTCGCTCCCTTCTTAACATTCCTCTAAACTTGGGACAGGTAGTATTGTTTGCCCTATGCCCTGATGCCTTGCAGGTGGTGCAATATTCCTCCTCCTTACAGTCTTTGGCCACATGACCCTGCTTACTGCACTTGAAACAAGTATTCGTTCTATCCTCCCCCTTACAAGTATCCCTTCTATGCCCAAACTGTAAACATCTGTAGCATCTCATCAGTGGAACCCATTCGTTTACCCGGCATTGGATCAAGCCTATTTCAACCCTTCCTCTTCTAACCATATCTTCAGCCACTTGTCTATTCACCTTAACAGTCGCCGCCTGGTTCCCGTCCCTACAGGTTCTGATCGATGAGATTTCGAAATCTGTATCACCAAGTTCCTCCTTTATAGCATCCTCGATCTCCTCCTTAGTCCTGTCAGCCGTTATGTCCAAGATTTGCACTATCTTTTGATCCCTCCTGTGTATTACCGTTAAATTTTCGATTTTCTCCGTTAATGTTCTTTTCAGTAATCCCGCATCGGTCTCCTTCTTCACTTCTATCAGCAGATCACCTTTGACGGTTTTCTTGACTCTTTCTAATCGCACTCCTAATTCCTTAATATTTACGTTGTCCTTTATCTCTCTTAGGGTATCCGCATAACTTCTCCCCTCCCCCGTCTTTAGGATTAATGTATCATTTCTTTTCGTCTCGGTTTTCGTTTCTTTTCGTTTTCTCCTCGGTTTACCCTTTTCTCCTTGCCCTTCCTTCTCCCGACTAAATATTCTCACTTTCCGATCACTCCCACGAAAGACCCACTCGCAGCTTTTCCTTATTACTTCCGTAGGTATCCTCGCCATTGAAATTACATTCACTATCTCCTTCTTCTCGATATCCTTTATGACTTCCTTTATTTCTTCCACGTTTTGGGTCATCTGCACCCCCTTTCCTCTTATGCATTGGTCTTTAACAGGTACTATCACTACTCGTCTCTTCTCCTCAATGCATTTTCCTCTACCGTATTTTATTATAGAGTTCCTCGTTATCATTTCGATTTTGTCTTCTATGCCTTCCTCTACGATGTGTGGCAGCTCTGGTACCATTGAGTGTATGTCCTTCCATTCCTTTGTCTCTTCCATGTTCTCCGGTTCTAGGATCACTACTATATTATTTCTTACTTCCTCCCTCTCTGGTAATCTATATGTGACTTCTGTGCAAATGTAAGCTTCTTCCGGCCACTCCATATCTATTATTTCCTCTATCTCCTCCTTTTCGTTTAAGCACTCAATAATTTTCATATTACGTTTCCTTTCCTCGATATTTATCTCATCGTAGTTCACTTGTGTTCCCCGGTCAACCTGTTTCCCTTTAACCGTCTTCGTACTTTCCGCTCTTTCCTTATTCTCATCCTCTTCCACCTTTGTTGCGACTCGTTTCACCCATTCCGTACACCTGCCCACCTCCTTAGCCTTATTTTTAATGGTACCTTTGATATTATTGCTCTCCGCGATTAAATTGTTTAGATCCCTGACCGCTCCCTCTAGTCCTGCAATTCTTTCCCATAGTTGCGCCCATCCCTCTTTTCCACTTTCCGCATCATTCTTGCTTTTTTTTGGGGTCCCCCCAAAAAGTGGTGCCTTCATCATGATGCTTTCAGTTCCGCTCTTTTTCACCGCTCGGTCTACCGGCGGCGAATCGGTCTCTTCTTGTTCCTCTTCCCTTTGTCGTTTTGTAGATGTTCCTCCCCAGGAGCCCGACCTTGTCAGTTTCTTGTTGTCGCTATTCACTTCTACCTTGGTTTTTGTAGGAGGTGTCCTTGGCACCTTGGGTTGCTTCCTAAAAACTTCCTGCTCTTCCTCCGTTAATACTACCATTTCCTCACCTTTATCCTTGTTTGTTTTTGTTTTTGTATTTGTATCCTTACTCATTTTGTTCCCACGAATAGCTAGGGATCAGAGGTCCACCCATGCAGAGCCCCGCTTGCATGGGTAAGGCTTCCTACTCCGGGAGGTCGCCCGGTATCCCGGAGGCTCCGTTCACGACCAACTAACGCATGGCCATTCACCCTTCGGCACGGATCGCGTGACACCTTAGGTTGCGGCCCATTAATTCCAGTTTTTTTTTTTTCAGGCGCCGGAAGCTCGCCATAACCCTTCTCCGTTGGCTACGAGACGTACTTCATCAGCACGCCGCGCATTACCAGGGACCACCACGAGGAGCATCAGCACGCCGCGCATTACCAGGGACCACCACGAGGAGGTGGAGATAGGATTTGCCGGTTCATCCACACAGGACTGCGGGCTCAGCGTTTTATTGTACGGTAAGTATGGGCACCCTACCGCACCTACTGAGACCCACTGGGTCAGCCCAGACCCAAAACCCGGCCATTTGGTCCCCACCCTACCCTACCCTACCCTACCCTACCCTACCCTACCCTACCCTACCCTACCCTACCCTACCCTACCCTACCCTACCCTACCTTACCTTACCTACCCTACCCTACCTTACCCTACCCTACCCTACCCTACCCTACCCTACCCTACCCTACCCTACCCTACCCTACCCTACCCTACCCTACCCTACCCTACCCTACCCTACCCTACCCTACCCTACCCTACCCTACCCTACCCTACCCTACCCTACCCTACCCTACCCTACCCTACCCTACCCTACCCTACCCTACCCTACCCTACCCTACCCTACCCTACCCTACCCTACCCTACCCTACCCTACCCTACCCTACCCTACCCTACCCTACCCTACCCTACCCTACCCTACCCTACCCTACCCTACCCTACCCTACCCTACCCTACCCTACCCTACCCTACCCTACCCTACCCTACCCTACCCTACCCTACCCTACCCTACCCTACCCTACCCTACCCTACCCTACCCTACCCTACCCTACCCTACCCTACCCTACCCTACCCTACCCTACCCTACCCTACCCTACCCTACCCTACCCTACCCTACCCTACCCTACCCTACCCTACCCTACCCTACCCTACCCTACCCTACCCTACCCTACCCTACCCTACCCTACCCTACCCTACCCTACCCTACCCTACCCTACCCTACCCTACCCTACCCTACCCTACCCTACCCTACCCTACCCTACCCTACCCTACCCTACCCTACCCTACCCTACCCTACCCTACCCTACCCTACCCTACCCTACCCTACCCTACCCTACCCTACCCTACCCTACCCTACCCTACCCTACCCTACCCTACCCTACCCTACCCTACCCTACCCTACCCTACCCTACCCTACCCTACCCTACCCTACCCTACCCTACCCTACCCTACCCTACCCTACCCTACCCTACCCTACCCTACCCTACCCTACCCTACCCTACCCTACCCTACCCTACCCTACCCTACCCTACCCTACCCTACCCTACCCTACCCTACCCTACCCTACCCTACCCTACCCTACCCTACCCTACCCTACCCTACCCTACCCTACCCTACCCTACCCTACCCTACCCTACCCTACCCTACCCTACCCTACCCTACCCTACCCTACCCTACCCTACCCTACCCTACCCTACCCTACCCTACCCTACCCTACCCTACCCTACCCTACCCTACCCTACCCTACCCTACCCTACCCTACCCTACCCTACCCTACCCTACCCTACCCTACCCTACCCTACCCTACCCTACCCTACCCTACCCTACCCTACCCTACCCTACCCTACCCTACCCTACCCTACCCTACCCTACCCTACCCTACCCTACCCTACCCTACCCTACCCTACCCTACCCTACCCTACCCTACCCTACCCTACCCTACCCTACCCTACCCTACCCTACCCTACCCTACCCTACCCTACCCTACCCTACCCTACCCTACCCTACCCTACCCTACCCTACCCTACCCTACCCTACCCTACCCTACCCTACCCTACCCTACCCTACCCTACCCTACCCTACCCTACCCTACCCTACCCTAACCTACCCTACCCTTTTTTTTTTTTTTTTTTTTTTTTTTTTTTTTTTTATAGAGGTTTAAAATGCGTTTACGCACACCCCCGCTGTTGGTCGGCGGGGGTAGTGTGGGGCTCACTGGTGTCCTACCCACTAAAACACTCCTCTCTTCCCCTATGCTCCACGAACATAGCACACGACGGGAACGCCTGTACGTGGGCTTGCGTCGCCGTGTGCGGGGGTATCCCTCCGATCTCTCTAATTTTCCTTTCTATCCTCCTCCTCTTTCCTTTCCATTACCCTTGTGATCCATCGCGCTGCACGCCTGTAATTTTCACTGCTTTCTAACATGTATTTTATTATGTTTTCGGTCCGCAGTTCGACGCCCGATTCTAGGCACATTTCTTCCCTTTCCTTCCGGAATCTCCTACAGAAGAACATCACGTGCTCCGGGGAGTCTTCCAGTCCGCACCTTGTGCACAAGTCGCTCTCCCTTTTGCCAATACGTTTAACGTAGGTATGGAAGGACCCATGGCCCGTCAGGAACTGTGTCATGTAGTAATTGACATTTCTATATTTGCAGCTATACCATGGCCTCAAGTCCGGTATCAGTCTCTTTGTCCATTTAGCCCTGTCCTCCAAGGCATCCCACTTTTCCTGCCACCTACAGAGTGTCTCCTCCCTCGCTGCATCTTTCTGTGCCTTCTCCCTCCTTCCATGTTTGTGGATTTCGGCTCTTTCATACACCAATTCGTCCATTGGGATACTCCCCGTTATGACAAGTAGAGCCTCCGTCGACGCGGTTTTGTATGCACTGGCTACTCTCAACGTTACTTTGCGCTGGGTCCTTAACAGGAGTTGTCTGTATGTTTTAACCGAGGCTCCGTCTTGCCACACGGGTGCTCCATACAGGAGTATGGATTCCACCGCCTTTCCAATGATGTACCGCTTCATGCTACTCATCCCTCCCACATTTGGCATGATTCCCTGCATCTTCGTCATCTTTTGTGTCGCCTTCTCACACACTTTCTTTATGTGTTCGCCGAATTTTAGGCGGTGGTCGATATGGATTCCAAGATATCTGATCACTGTCTTTGGCGTGATACTCTGTTCGCCAATCTTGAATTTAATTGTTTCGCGTACCGATCGTCTAATACAACCCCTCAGTATAACTGCTTCACTCTTGTTGGCCGCCAGCTCCAGCTTATTCGCCTCCATCCAATCCTCTATCTCTTCTATACACCTGTTAGCCCTCGCAATCAGCCCCGACTTTGACCCCGCCTCCACGAGTAGGGCCAGATCGTCCGCGAACGCCACGCTTGTGCAGCCCTCGCCAAGCTCAATCCCCAACACATCGTCGTACATGATATTCCATAAAGTGGGTCCTATTACTGATCCTTGTGGGACGCCGCAGTGCACCGACATTTGGTTCTTTTTATCCAGTGATATACTCCTATCCGTCAAATAGTCCTCGACCAGTCGTACTAAGTATCGGGGAACATTCTTCCTTCGAAGTCTCTTTATTATAATACTCCACCTAGCCGAGTTGAACGCGTTCTTAATATCGAGTGCAATGAGCGCCACCCATTTACAGGGTGTTTCCCGTACTCTCGCTATGACCCACTCCACCAACCTACCCTACCCTACCCTACCCTACCCTACCCTACCCTACCCTACCCTACCCTACCCTACCCTACCCTACCCTACCCTTTTTTTTTTTTTTTTTTTTTTTTTTTTTGTTTAAATTGGAGGTGGAGAAATGCCTTGACGCACACCCCCGCAGTTGGTCGGCGGGGGTAGTGTGGGACTCACGAAAAACTCAAGTACTACCCACTAAAACTCCACCCCCACTTCCCAGAACCGCTCTCGCATTTCCTTGGGGAATTTCCTTTTTTTTTTTTTTTCTATGGTTTCTTTCTGCTCGCCTCTTTGGCGACTAATAGCTCTCTGCAGAATTCCCGGACAATGGCAAACTTTCCTTCACTTTCCAACATGATATCTACGAAATTTCCAACCTTTAGGGTTATTCCCAGCTGTCTGTAATATTTCTCCCTGATTTCCTTCCATTCTTCGCATTTGAATGTCGTATGCTCCGGGTCATCAATTTCTGTACAGAACTCGCACCTGCTAGTTGGTGTTTTCTGGATCCTTTTCAGGTAAGTGCCGAAATCCCCGTGCCCTGTCAGTATCTGGGTGACATAATAGTCAACATCCCCAAACGTTCTGTTGACCCACTTTCCAAAATCTACCATGAGCCTTCTGGTCCACTCACCATTTTTCGTTTTTTTCCATCTGTCCGCCCACTTGTCCGTCAGGCATTGTCTGTTGAACTTTCTTGCTCCTTCATCGGCTTCATGATTGTGTGCCCTCTCCTCCGCCAGCAAGTCCAGTGGCGGTATTCCAGCCACCACTTGCAGCGCTTCTATGGACGTCGTTCTATACGCCTGTGTTGCATAAATAAGCATGCGCCTTTCGATTTTTTGTAAAATACCGACACTGATTTTATACTTAGTGCTTCCGGCCCATACCGGGGCGCCATATAGTACTATGGACGTTACGACACTATATAAAAGTTTTCTCGATCGAAAGTTTGGGCCCTTATTTCTCGGCATTATTTTTATGAGGGCTGAGGCTACCCTGTTCGCCTTGACAGCGGTCTCTTGCAGATGTGGTATCCATGTGAGGTTTCTGTCTACCACTACTCCCAGATATTTGAAACTATTAGAGGGGTTGAGAATTTTGCCATCGTAGTTAATTTTTAGTTTTCGCACTTTTTTGCGACCCGTCAGTAGCGTTATCTCGGTCTTTTCGACTGCCAAAATCAGGTTATGCGTTCTCATCCATTTTTCTACCGTGGCTATTCCTCGGCTCGCCAACGCCTCCAGCTGGTCCTCGTTGCTTGCGGTTACAATTAGAAGCAGATCGTCTGCATATGCTATCTGCCTTATTCCCTCGCCCAGATCCAGTTCCAGAACGCCATCATAGACCACATTCCATAGAATGGGGCCTATTACCGACCCCTGTGGCACTCCGCAGCTCATCTCTCTTTCGTAACCATCTATTTTTATTTTTCGCTCTGTGAGGTATTCTTTTATTATTTCGATGAGGTAGCCGCTTACGTTTTTTCTTTCGAGTGCTTTTATGATATCTGGCCAGGGGGCAGAATTAAAAGCATTTTTAACGTCTAGCGCTATGGCCAAAGTTAGTTCACGGTTTCGCCAGTGTCCCTCTCTAGCGTTCTTTGTCAGTCTGACTAGCTCCTGAATGGCATCTATCGTCGAGCGGCCCGGCATGAAGCCGTATTGGTGCTCCGAGATGCCCCCTTTCGTGTCGAGCTCCTCTAACATTCGATCTCTAAGAACCCTTTCGAATAACTTAGCTATCGTCGGTAGAAGGCATATAGGCCTATACGATATTGGGGTTTTTCCAGGTTTTGGAAGCAGAACTAATGCAGCTGTTTTCCATGCCACGGGCATCTTTCCCCTTTTCATGACATTTGTGAGGGCTTTTGCCATGATGTCTGGCCTACAATTGACTGCGCATTTGACCGCTTCGGGGGGGATTCCGTCCTCCCCAGGTGCTTTTTTGTTTTTTAAAGCTCGCGCTGCCATAATTACTTCCTCTTCCGTGACATCGGGCACAGGAGCTGTCTCAATATCATTGCATCTGTTCCATTTTACCCTACCCTACCCTACCCTACCCTACCCTACCCTACCCTACCCTACCCTACCCTACCCTACCCTACCCTACCCTACCCTACCCTACCCTACCCTACCCTACCCTACCCTACCCTACCCTACCCTACCCTACCCTACCCTACCCTACCCTACCCTACCCTACCCTACCCTACCCTACCCTACCCTACCCTACCCTACCCTACCCTACCCTACCCTACCCTACCCTACCCTACCCTACCCTACCCTACCCTACCCTACCCTACCCTACTAGAGAGGGTAGGGGAGTAGAGAGGGTAGGGGAGTAGAGAGGGTAGGGGAGTAGAGAGGGTAGGGGAGTAGAGAGGGTAGGGGAGTAGAGAGGGTAGGGGAGTAGAGAGGGTAGGGGAGTAGAGAGGGTAGGGGAGTAGAGAGGGTAGGGGAGTAGAGAGGGTAGGGGGAGTAGAGAGGGTAGGGGGAGTAGAGAGGGTAGGGGGAGTAGAGAGGGTAGGGGGAGTAGAGAGGGTAGGGGGAGTAGAGGAGTAGGGGAGTATAGGAGTAAAGAAGTAGAGGGGACTCAACTCTACTCAACTCTACTCTACTCAACTCTACTCAACTCTACTCAACTCTACTCAACTCTACTCAACTCAACTCAACTCAACTCAACTCAACTCAACTCAACTCAACTCAACTCTACTCAACTCTACTCAACTCTACTTTACTCTACTCAACTCTACTGGAATAGAGGAGCAGAGGAATAGAGGAGCAGAGGAATAGAGGAGCAGTGGAATAGAGGAGCAGTGGAATAGAGGAGCAGAGGAATAGAGGAGCAGAGGAATAGAGGAGCAGTGGAATAGAGGAGCAGTGGAATAGAGGAGCAGAGGAATAGAGGAGCAGAGGAATAGAGGAGCAGAGGAATAGAGGAGCAGAGGAATAGAGGAGCAGAGGAATAGAGGAGTAGAGGAACATAGGAGTAGATGTGTTGCAAACAATAGATTGTTTACGATTTGGTGATTGATTGGATGCCTAATGACTATTTAATGACTGTTTGTCGTTCGTTCTTAGTTAATCCAGGTAGATTAATCCACTCATAATGGGTTTTTCCCATCTCTAATGGGCTTTACCGGGAAAATCGTTGTTTACAATTACGCCTTTTTTGGAACTTTCGACCGATATCTCCGAAACTACGCCAACGATTTTTTTCAAATTTTTACCACATATTCTTTGTTTTGTTTGCCATTTTTCCACGCAAATCGCGTTTCTTCAAAAAATCATTTCACCTGCCTTCTTCGCTTCTCAGTGAAGGCTAGACGACAAGGTAACGATCCATTCGTCTACCGGAATTTGTTGATTCCTCAAATATTTCGGCAAATCATTTACGAAAATTTCTGGCGAATCGGTATCCGTTCCCGAAATGTCGGCGGAAGGAGTGCTGGATTATTCTTCGATGGGATGACATTTTCCAGTCGTAGTAAAATCAATGGCATCGTCTCCATGAAGCGAATGTTGGTTTCCAGGATGGTTGATGTTGTCGTCGAATTCATCGGTTTTGGGCTCGTCCGATTTAATGTCTTGGAGTTCGTACCCTCAGGAACAGTTGTGAGTGAGGACTTCGGTCTCTCCTTGATGTCTTCAAAGATATGTTGGGCGTCATGTTTCCTTGGGGTTAACTCCTCGGTGGGCGGAACTCTGCCGATGGTATCTCCGATGGAACACTGAAAAATAAATAAATAAATAACAACAAGTAAATTAGATGTGGTCGAGTCGGAGGCTCAGAGAAGAATGAATTCTCAGTGGCTCGAGTGTCGGTTTTTATATTGTTGCAAACAATAGATTGTTTACGATTTGGTGATTGATTGGATGCCTAATGACTATTTAATGACTGTTTGTCGTTCGTTTCCAGGAAATCCAGGTAGATGCATCCACTCATAGTGGGTTTTTCCCATCCCTAATGGGCTTTACCGGGGGAAAATCGTTGTTTACAATCTTCGATATTCAACGGGTCCCCAAAATGCATCTTTAGTTTTGTCATATGCCGTAGAAAACCGTATGCCGACGCTCGACGTCACTCGGGAGAACACCCTACCCTACCGGTAAACATATTGGTGTATACAATACCTAAAAAGATACCTAAGAAGTCAGTATTCTTAGGTATTGAATTAGGTATCCGTTCCCGAAAATGTCGGCGGACGAAGTGTTGGATTATTCTTCGAAGGGATGGCATTTTCCGATCGTAGTAAAATCAATGACATCGTCTCCATGAAGCGGATGTTGGTTTCCAGGATGGGTTGATGTTGCCGTCGAATTCATCGGTTTTGGGCTCGTCCGATTTGATGTCGTGGAGTTTGTACCCTCAGGAAGAGTTGTGAGTGAGGACTTCGGTCTCTCCTTGATGTCTTCAAAGATATGTTGGGCGTCATCTTTCCTTGGGGTTGACTCCTCGGTGGGCGGAACACTGCCGATGGTATCGTCGATGGAACACTGAAAAAAAATATAAATAAATAAATAACAACGAGTAATTTAGATGTGGTCGAGTCGGAGGCTCAGAGAAGAATGAATTCCCAGTGGCTCGATCGTCGGTTTTTATATTGTTGCAAACAATAGATTGTTTACGATTTGGTGATTGATTGGATGTCTAATGACTATTTAATGACTGTTTGTCGTTCATTCCCAGGGAATCCAGATAGATGCATCCACTCATAATGGGTTTTTCCCATCCCTAATGGGCTTTGTTGCCCTGAATGTTTTTTTACGGCTTTATTAGCGTACGAAAAAATCGGAAAAAAATTCTATCCTACGTAACTCGACGAGATCTATCGAAATATCGAGCCGGATTTTTGTGAAAATTACGCCTTTTTTGGAATTTTCGGTCGATATCTCCGAAACTACGCCAACGATTTTTTTCAAACTTTTACCACAAATTCTTTAATTTTTTTGCCATTTTTGCACGCAAATCGCATTTCTTCAAAAAGTCATTTCACCATGTTATAGGGAAATGAAATTTTACCTTAATTAAAATTTTAAATAAATACACTCCGTTTACTCGGAAACTATAGGGTTTTCGAAAAAAATTTATTCTTTCAAAATTATTAATTTAAGTTTCATTTAACTAACAAAACAAACCCGATAACGATATCTTAACCCGTTCAAAAGTTATAGCAAAAAAAAGGAATTCCCGGCCGGCCGCCGTGCCAGCGCGTGTGACGTCACATCGCTTTATTACTAAACTATTACTACTATTACTAAATTCTGGTGATATATTTCTAAATTCTGGTGACATATTACTAGATTCTGGTGATATATTACTAAATTCTAATGATATATTACTAGATTCTGGTGATATTACTAGATTCTGGTGATCACTAGATTCTGGTGATATATCACTAGATTCTGGTGATATACTACTAAATTCTGGTGATATATCACTAGATTCTGGTGATATATCACTAGATTCTGGTGATATATCACTAGATTCTGGTGATCACTAAATTCTGGTGATATATCACTAGATTCTGGTGATATATCACTAGATTCTGGTGATATATCACTAGATTCTGGTGATATATCACTAAATTCTGGTAATATATCACTAGATTCTGGTGATATACTACTAAATTCTGGTGATATATCACTAGATTCTGGTGAGATATCACTAGATTCTGGTGAGATATCACTAGATTCTGGTGATCACTAGATTCTGGTGATATATCACTAGATTCTGGTGATATATCACTAAATTCTGGTAATATATCACTAGATTCTGGTGATATACTACTAAATTCTGGTGATATATCACTAGATTCTGGTGAGATATCACTAGATTCTGGTGAGATATCACTAGTTCCTGGTGATCACTAGATTCTGGTGATATATCACTAGATTCTGGTGATTTATTACTAGATTCTGGTGATATATCACTAAATTCTGGTGATATATCACTAGATTCTGGTGATATATCACTAGATTCTGGTGATTTATTACTAGATTCTGGTGATATATCACTAGATATTACTAGATTTTGGTGATTTATCACTAGATTCTGGTGATTTAGCACTAGATTCTGGTGACTTATTACTAGATTCTGGTGATCACTAGATTCTGGTGATTTATTACTAGATTCTGGTGATATATCACTAGATTCTGGTGATATATCACTAGATTCTGGTGATTTATTACTAGATTCTGGTGATTTATCACTAGATTCTGGTGATTTATTACTAGATTCTGGTGATATATCACTAGATTCTGGTGATTTATTACTAGATTCTGGTGATTTATCACTAGATTCTGGTAATTTATTACTAGATTCTGGTGATATATCACTAGATTCTGGTGATTTATTACTAGATTCTGGTGATTTATCACTAGATTCTGGTGATTTATTACTATATTCTGGTGATATATCACTAGATTCTGGTGATTTATTACTAGATTCTGGTGATTTATCACTAGATTCTGGTGATTTATTACTAGATTCTGGTGATTTATCACTAGATTCTGGTGATTTGTTACTAGATTCTGGTGATATATCACTAGATTCTGGTGATTTATTACTAGATTCTGGTGATATATCACTAGATTTTGGTGATTTATTACTAGATTCTGGTGATATATCACTAGATTCTGGTGATTTGTTACTAGATTATGGTGATTTATCACTAGATTCTGGTGATTTATCACTAGATGCTGGTGATTTATTACTAGATTCTGGTGATTTATCACTAGATTCTGGTGATTTATTACTAGATTCTGTTGATTTATCACTAGATTCTGGTGATTTATTACTAGATTCTGGTGATATATCACTAGATTCTGGTGATTTATTACTAGATTCTGGTGATATATCACTAGATTCTGGTGATTTATTACTAGATTCTGGTGATTTATTACTAGATTCTGGTGATTTATCACTAGATTCTGGTGATTTATTACTAGATTCTGGTGATTTATCACTAGATTCTGGTGATTTATTACTAGATTCTGGTGATATATCACTAGATTCTGGTGATTTATTACTAGATTCTGGTGATATATCACTAGATTTTGGTGATTTATTACTAGATTTCTGGTGATATATCACTAGATTCTGGTGATTTATTACTAGATTCTGGTGATTTATCACTAGATTCTGGTGATTTATCACTAGATTCTGGTGATTTATCACTAGATTCTGGTGATATATTACTAGATTCTGGTGATATATCACTAGATTCTGGTGATATATCACTAGATTCTGGTGATTTATTACTAGATTCTGGTGATTTATCACTAGATTCTGGTGATTTATTACTAGATTCTGGTGATATATCACTAGATTCTGGTGATTTATTACTAGATTCTGGTGATTTATTACTAGATTCTGGTGATATATCACTAGATTCTGGTGATTTATTACTAGATTCTGGTGATATATCACTAGATTCTGGTGATTTATTACTAGATTCTGGTGATTTATCACTAGATTCTGGTGATTTATTACTAGATTCTGGTGATATATCACTAGATTCTGGTGATTTATTACTAGATTCTGGTGATTTATCACTACATTCTGGTGATTTATTACTAGATTCTGGTGATATATCACTAGATTCTGGTGATTTATTACTAGATTCTGGTGATATATCACTAGATTCTGGTGATTTATCACTAGATTCTGGTGATTTATTACTAGATTCTGGTGATATATTACTAGATTATTACTAGATTATTACTAGGCGCGGGCTTCTGCAGGGGCGCCACATGTCTATGGCAAATACCGAGCATTTCTAGTGTAATGGCACAGTATAATTCAGTAGTGAAGCTCCGAAATAAATCCCTATGCTTTCTTGTCGTCTCTTTGCTACTCGTGCATTTGCTCGGGACTTCGAAGCCCTGCCTCTAGCCGAAATTTCGCTAGAGCAGGAACAATTCGAACGCTGTCCGATTCAAGCCTTGTGTTTGAAATGTTAGCGTGCCTTTGCCATCGAATAGGTCCCCGTTGTGCCCTTGTACGAGATTAAACACCACGAGATAACAAAAAAAAATTTGGAGTGATCGTTGTCATTTGTCGCTGAATACTCATTAAGTTCATGCAAGACTATGACATTTTTTAAAAAGAAGAATTGACTTGACATATGACATATACATTATTAATAATCGCCTTAAACTTCACCTTAGTCGATGATAATCCTAAAAGAAATGTTATTTTACAATAAATTCGATGGCTAATACATTTTTTAATCTCGAAGCGGCTCTAATTGTAAGTAATACAATCGATTTTAACTATTAATCTATAAAAAAAATATCTTTTTTTTTGATAGTGTGTGTACGTGTTTGTCAAAACGAACTCGCAATTTGTTTTTATTTTTTATTTTTTATAGCTATTTTTTGCTGACTTTAATTATAATCAGTAATATTTTTAATACCTACACTCTCTATTAGTAATAAAGATTTAATAATTATACAGACTTTGCTGTTTATAATGAATTCGAAAAATTTTTAATTACATATAGGTTATACATATACTTTTTAGTGATTAGGTTTAGGAATAATTCTCCAGTCATTTTTCGGTCAATATTTAATAATATAATAAATTCGAAAGAACAATTAAAATATATGTATTATAACATTTATATGTTTGTTATGTATAATAAATAATGTTTAAGAATGGAGAGAATTCGGCCCAAGATGAAGACGATTGCTTAGAAAACGAAGAGGAATATGATGCCCTAAATGATGAAACTTTTGGTGCTTTAGAGGATTCATCGAGTTTCGATGATTGGGAACAACAACACGAACAATACGCTGAGATTGCAGAGAGTTCTAGACATTCTGAACAATTAGGTAATCTTTCTATTTTTTTTTTTTTTTGGAATCTAAATTAAATTGTTTCGCATTAAGCTTTGTTATTGAACGTTCAGTTTATTATTACCGAGATACATTGAACCGTTGAAACATTACGATATATATAAATTCAATCTAATCCATTTTTTTCAGAAAACTCCATATCAAAGTTAGTTCTCGATAATTCAGAAAATCGCGTTCCTCGTCTATCAGATTCAGTGTGGTCTTATACGCCAACAACTAAAGATGCTACGGCAAATAAAAATTACGATAATTTCAACAAATCCATCATTTCGTCTTTACAAAAAGCATCCAAATCGTTTGTAAGTAATCCGACTATAATTTCTATTTGTTTGATAAAATTTTTTACAAGCATTTTACTTTTACCAGATTGAATCGCTTAACGATTACACGAAACGCCCAACGGAAACTGTTCCCGTTCCCAATCACGGACCTCCTGGGGGCACCACATTGAAAGGCATTTGTACTGTGGAAGAATTAGAGAAAAGCCTTATCGATTCGAGCAAAAATGCCTCATCTTCGAAGGTTCCATTGCCGCCTAAACAACACCAATTACGACATCAGACATTACCTAGACCTTTACTATCTATACCAGGTGGACCCGGTTCTCATCAACATCAACATCATCCGATGCTACAGGTACACAGTACAGTTATAAACGACAAATCGAACGGTTCTTTTAAAACGAATACATATAATAATTATATATTATATTATGTAATTTAATTTTAGCACCATATTCAAAACGCTAGATTACCACCTCCCGGTTTGCCACCTTTGACTGTACCACCGCCGGGTATGAGACCACCTATGAATGCTCATCATATGCCGGGTATGCTACCACCCGGTATGCTCAGATTAGTTTCACCGCATCAACATTTTATGCAAAATGGTCCGATGAGACCGCCGGGTTTCATGTATCCCCCGCCCGGATCAAATCCGGTGAGTATTATAACATTACCCCTAGGCTTTATATTTTTTTATATTCTTTAACATTGACTAATTCAATTTATGTAATTATTATATGTATGTCTAGATGGGCCACCATTATTCCTATCATCAACCGGCTCGCATGGGAAATATTCCAATGAACTCCCAACAGCAACAGCAAAGTGGTAACTCGACAATTTCCAATTGTCATCAACAATACAGGAATAATATGGAAAGAACGAGAAATGATAGCGGACATTACAGAGAAAGGAATCACAAGGATTACGAACAAAGAGACGAATATGCAGGATTAATGACTATGAGAGAGAAACAATGGTTGTTGAACATACAATTGTTGCAATTAAATACGGGAACGCCCTATTTTGACGATTACTATTATACAGTAAGTTGAAGTTTAAATTTAAATTTAAATTTAAATTTTTTTATGGATAAAATGGCAGCTGACTTTGTTCCTCTCATGTCTCACTACTATCCTTATTTTTATTCCTTAAACTGTGACCTGTATATATTCTGTACATATTTGTATGTATACTTTTTAGTCGGGTTTTTTTTTTTAATGAAAGTTTAATCACCAGTGTACTTGCATGTACTACTTGTAGATATTTAAAGAAAGAAAATCCAAAAGCGACAAGGAAAATAACGTCATCGGCGAGAAAAACGTGCCGAATAGTAAAAGACAACAGAGAAATAACGAACATCATCAGGAAAATCAAAATACCCTGACTCCGAGAGTGTACACTCCGTTGCAGTTTGAAAATTCTTTGGGAAAATTGCAAGTAAGTTATTATTATTGACAAGTTTATTCTGTATTATGTTACAGTATAATACAGTAGGGAAATTCTCGAGATGTTTAGTCTCGAACGAGGGCACAACGGGGGGACCTCGGAGTTTCCCTACTGTATTATACCGTGATTATACTTATATTGTATTTTATTTGCATTTTAACAAATTATTTTTTGCAATCAGTGCGGTTCAGTAACGGCTCCAAGGAAAATAATTGACATGGATATCGTAACACCTGATAAAGATAACGAAAGTACACCCTCTATATCGAGAGATAGCAGAAAAACGAGACAGTTATTGTTAGAGTTAGAGTCTCTTTATTCTCTATTGTTAAAGGCCGAAGATATTAACAATCCTTTGTACGCCAACAATATGGATAAGCTGAGAGAAATGAAACAAAAACAAAGGTAATTCTATTTTATTTTATTTTATTTTATTTTGTATGCAATAGAGTTATGATTAATATTTGGAAATTTGATTATGCAGACTAAGGGAATTGGAATTGGTTCCCACTTTAGAACAAAGAAGAGAAATTTTGCGATTGTTTAAAATCGAGAGTGAACTAATAATCGAAAATCCTTTGGACTATATTACGAAAATTATTCAAGGATTTTTACGAGATGACAAAATAACGAGTTTTCTGAATATCAGAAAAGGAAAGGTAAACTATTTAACCAACATTTACTAATATTAACTTTAATAATAGTACATAATAGATATACATATAAAATTTTTTTTATAATTTTTCAGATGCTGCTCTTGAGACTTTTGCCTCATTTAACAATAGAAACTTTTGCTACACAACTTTTGGAATTGTGGACTAAGGTGTTGTTGAGTTTACCTGTTGTTGGTAGAAGAGATACGGCCGGTGATAATATTTTACCTAAATTATACCCTTACTTGAAAAGGTAATTAATTAATCATTATTATTATCATTATTATACCTTCAGATTTACTTTCGCTTGCACTTGAATCTCCTGTGAAATATACAGTGTGGCCGATAAGTCGCAATTCGGAGTCGACAGATAAGCAGTTTTCGTTAAAGCGATTTATATACAGGCCACCCTGTATTTGAAAATATATTGTGATAAGTCAGTCAGTCAGTCAGTCAGTCAATTATATTTTATGATTTTTAGATACACACATTCTACAAACATGTCTGATATAATAGAAATAGTAAGTGGTTTAATTGAAGTTGTTAAACCGGACAATCCCAGAAGTACACCGTTGAGTCACGCGGGTAAATCCCCTTTGTATTTCGTCTTGCTGAATAAGGTAAATATGCATTTTATTCTATTTCATCTAATCTATTTTTTTCATTCGCCATCTCTCTCTCTCTCTCTCTCTCTCTCTCTCTCTCTCTCTCTCTCTCTCTCTCTCTCTCTCTCTCTCTCTCTCTTTCTCTCAAATTCTTAAAATTGTACCTAACATTTTTGTAGTTTGGCGTATCGGCTTTGGTGATATTGTTAATAAGAGTGGAATGTCTGATATCATCCGATTCGGTAACTGAAAAGCAAGAAAACGTTTGGTCGAATTTTCTGGTGAATTTGTGTCAACAAATCGAGTCTACTATGAACAAAATCCCTTCGCCTATTGACGTCATACCGGGTCCGATTTTTAACAAGCATTGCGATCGTTTCAACAACGTTTTGAAAGCGGAGAAGAGATCATTGTTGCAAAAATATTTTGTTGATTGTAATTCTAATATTTAAAAAGTGATTGTTTTTTTTTTTTAATTTAATTTAGACGGAAAGGTAAGGTTTTTAATTATTTTTTAATGGCTTGCTGATTTGATGTTTCTTACAAATACATCTATTGACTCGAGAAGAATGCCCTAAACGTATTTGCTAAGTCACATTTTGTACTAAAACATGTACTAAAACTTGTGTAGATTGTAAATATTTTAAATTACGACGTTTATTAATTTTTGTCGATTTTTAACATATTGTGTTTATGATTAAATTTTCTTGATATTTACGTTGTTTAGGGTAATTCTTCTTTTAATCAGTAGTACATTAATAATAGTACATTATTTAAAGATTCGAAAGCATCTCTTTTCTACTAAATTCTTTTGAAAATCAATTTTTTACTATAATACTGAATATTCAGGTTGCGTTTATTTGTTTTTATTGCTACCTGAATAAAAATCTTTCTATACAAAGAATTTATGAAAAAAAAAGATGCTTTGTAATAATATAAAAGAAATGCAATTTGAGAGTACATTAAATATTACAAAAAGCAGGATTTAGAACAATTTAATCCTACTCTTGACATTTTGACATTAATGCAAATCGTAAAATAATGAAAATTATATAAGTGTAAATTTTACACAATTTTTTTCTAAAGAACCTTATTAATCTAATAAAATACTCTTTTATTTCATATTTGCTTTAGTTTCAATCGTTTTTTTTTTTATTTTACCTTTTGCAATAGTGATTATAAAAGCAATTATTCACGTAGATTGGTTGATTTTTAAAAATTTACGCAAAAGCGTACACATTTTAAAAAAATTGATACTTATTTTTATTTGTGTTTTTGTTAACTATTATCATATAATTGGTTACATTTTTTTAAATTAATGAAAAATTGTATAAGTGAACATTTCCCAATGCAAAGAATATGTTTTATGATTGCATTGGGTAATAAATATGTTTTAAGTTAGTTTTTAATTTCGATATCAGAAATATGTTTGGAAGATATCATTTATATTATTAATATGAAGCTTCTTCAATTAGATACATTTGTCGAACAGATAGAAATAAATTGTTTGACTATTTACTTTTTTTTATTAATTTTTAAGAAATAATTCCTAATAATATTTGAAAGTTTTAATAAAAATAAACCTTTTGGGACTTGAACTAAATAGTTATTTGAATAAGAAATAACTTCAGACTACAAACATGTATTAGCTGAAGTTTGTGACATTTCTTATTCTCTTCTGTTACATGGCCTCTTGCGTTATGTTGCATCCGGCCAGCTTACGAGTTGTTACACTGATATATGCACTGGATTATAGGCCAATAAAAAAGAAGAAGAAACATTTTTATTTGTTACAGAAAGAAGATTTTCAGAGGTTACCTATACTAGGTTATATTATTAAAATAAATCTAATCTGAATAACTTTTAAATAATTAATAGTTAAACATGTCTTTTCGTGCAGGAATATTATTAAAAACGTATCAAAAAAGTGCACTCATACAAACCACATTTTTCTCTGTTGCCACTAAAACGAAGATTCAACATCATCGACCTTTACTGATAAATTGTAAAAACAAGAAATTAAATCATTATTTAGAAACCTATTACAGTAAATTAGACAAAGTACCGTTAGCATCGCAGGGTTGGCATCATCCAAAATCAAAAGGTGATACGTTTACTATTAATCAAATGCAGGATCCCGAAGAAGTAATGTATACACTTAAAGAATGTAATGTACTAGAAGACTTTAAAGAAGCTTTGAAAAAAGAAGGTGTAGAAAAGCTGACGGAATTTCAATATCGAGCCATTAACGAAATTCGACAAGGTATTTTTTTTTTTCATCAAACAAGTAAGTAAATCTATTTTACAATGTAAATTACTTTTAGGTTCACATGCGCTATTATCTGCGGAAACTGGATGTGGAAAAACTCTAGCTTACTTGTTGCCCATAATTGAAAATTTAATCAAAGACAAAGCTACGAATGTAAACACCCCTAAAGCTCTTATTTTGTGCCCAAATCGAGAATTAGCTTATCAAATTGGTGATATAGCAAAATTATTAGGCGAGAATGTTGGTGTCAACGTAAAAGTTCTCGTTGGTGGAAGAACCAAATTGATTATGATGAATCCCTCGTTTGATGAAATCGACATTTTAGTGGCAACTCCTGGGGCAATTGGAAAACTTTCAACTGTAGGAATTTACAAATTAAACGATGTTAGTAAGGTGGAATTTGTACGATAAAAAAAAATACTAATGCGATGTGAATTTTTTAGGTAAAATACACTGTTTTGGACGAGGCCGATACCTTAATCGATGACAGTTTTGTAGACAGAATGAAAGGTTTAATATTAAAATTAGCCCAATCACAAATAATATTGGTTTCGGCCACCTTACCCAAAATTCTACCGGCTATATTAGAACCTGTACAACAATCACTGAAGCATGTTGTATCACCTGGGATCCATCGACCTAAACTGAACATAACACAAAAGTTTCTGAGACTTACGAAAAGTCAAAAACCCAGTCACTTGTTAGAACTGGCCAAAAAGAACACCAATCCAATGATAATATTTACCAACAAAAACGAAACATGCAATTGGGTTGCGCTTTTTTTGAGAGAGAACGGAATCAATTGCGCCAATATTAATGGGGACATGCACTATCAGATCAGAATAGATCAATGGAATCAATTTTTAAAAGGCGAAGCGAACATTTTATCGTCTACAGACATCGGAAGTAGAGGTTTGAATACTATTCAAGTGAAGCACGTTTTAAATTACGATTTTCCTCTTTACGCTGCTGATTATTTACACAGAATAGGAAGAGTAGGTCGAATAGGCAGCCCCACTTCCTGTAAAGTAACCAATTTTATATCCGGACATTCAGAAATTGATATGGTTCAAAATATAGAAGTTAGTATTTTATATATATTTTTTTAATTAATCTCGAAGTTGATTGATTATTATTTTATTTTTTTTTAGTTGGCAATCAGAAGGAATCAACAAATCGAAAATGTCGACGGTAACATAACCAGCTTAGTAAACAGAAAAATAATGAATAAGGAAAAAGAATTAATCACCTAAAATATCAAATAAAACTTTATTAAAAAATATTTTTTTTTCTAAATTTTACCTACAGTACTTTACTACTACTTATTTACATCTGAATCGGAATCATTGGAGGAGGTATCGTCACTTTCGATTACAGGTCTATTTGTATTTACAAACAAATCATCATCATCATCATCATCGCTTTCATCAGGTTTTTTGGTATCGAACCCTTTGGGCCAAACATTGTCCTTTTTGAAACACTTAATATGTTCGTTTGTAAGAATCCTCACCATTTCACCTTTAACTTTATCACCCTCTTCGATCGGCTCGATAATAACGTAATCACCGCGTTTCACCCAAATGTTTTTCCGAAATTTCATCGGCATGGAAACGAGAAAAACCAATTTTTCCGGCGTTTCCACTTCGTGCAAATTGTTACCTCGACTGTTCAGAACTCTTACGATTTTTTGATTCTCCGTCGGTGCGCTAAAATCGTCTTGTAGATTTTCCAATTGGACGTGTTTTCTCTTGTTAGCCCGCGACATTGCTGTAAATTAAATAAAGAGACAATTTTTAAAATTGATTGTAAAGTTTCTTGTAAGAAGTCGCTCGCGATATGTGGAATATTAAAGTTTTATATTTGAGTTAGACCACCCTCTATGAAAATTATACAGAGGATTCTTAAGGAATAAAATACTTATAAATAGAACCAATGATGATACATGGCAGCCGATACATTCACGTTAGGGCTTTATTAAGCCTACCCTACCTTAAACCGGCACCGGAAATAGATACATATACATACAAACCCCAACAAAAAAAAAAAGTATATAATAATTTAGACAATCAAAATTATGAATGTGTCAGATTGTCTAAGAGAAATATACGTTGGACCATTTTCCGATTATCTAACAGCTTCAAACAGCCTCGGTGGGCTCGTAAAAGACCAAAGCCAATTGGTAAATTGTTTATTTAAATTAGAAATCAACCTGATGCAGATCCTGCAAAAGTACAAAAAACCGGTACATTCTCAAGAAGAGGACATCTTCTTGGAGCCGATATCAAAGCAAATAAACATAATTAAAAACCACGCCATCGAAAAATCGGCGGATTGTCATTATTTACAATTCGTTAGCGATTCGATTGAGATTTATTGTTGGACGAAGGAAACCGATTTGGAAACGTTCATAAGCAGATTCAGCGATCTCATCATAGCTTACAAGAGTAAGTATCGATTCAGTAATATAGCGGAGAAATACTCGGGTTGGTTGGAGGCATGGACTCAAACATTGGAGGAATTATCCGAATTCGTTTTGACCCATTTCAAAAACGGTTTGGTATGGCAAGGAAATGAAATATTACCAGCCCAAGCGGCTCTAGGTGACAAAAACGAATTTAGAAATTTCGATCACAAAGCCCTTTTCAAAGATATTAACCGAGCTAACAGTAGATTATTGAGACAAGCTGATGAAAACGCAGACAACCCAGAATAATAAGTATGAATAAATCCAGAAAATAAAATACATAATAATAATAATAATTAATAGAAAAACATAAATGTATTTGTAAAATTTATAATTACACACCAGAGTAATCACTTTTTTCTTTTTAAATGTTTTGTTTCATACCAACAAGTTAAATTACCACAAGCTTTTTCTATCGCTTCGTAAATATTTAAAGCCTCCCCGTTCGAAATGCCGTAACCTTTGAACAATCCGTGCGGATTCGACGGTGTTACACAATCTTGTTTCGACTCCTTTCTTAATACTCGATCGATTTCAACGGAAGAGAAAAACGCCACGGATTGCGGTAAATCTTTTATGCCGAGTCTGTACGAGCAAAACGATCTAGTTAATAGATTTGTCGTGTGCAATGCGAGAGCCGCCCGATATTTATGTTCTTCGGGTACCAAATACCTTACTTCGTCGTGAAAACTCAGACAAAATCGAATTTTATCGTCCATTATCCATCTCATGCATACTAACATTAAGTGTAAAAAATCGACAGCTCCGCTTTGAACTACCCAATTAACTCTAGTCGGAAGGAATTTATCTTCTTTAGATTTCGGTTCTAAAGCTCTGCTTAATCGACATCCGAGAAATGGAGTCGTCGGATTCGTACTGTTGGCGATTTCTTCTAATTTATTAAACATAGCCGATTCGGTTCCTCCTTCCCAATTGGATCTATCGAATAAATCGTTGACGTTTTTACCGTACAATTTGGCCAATTTAAAAGCCTCCCATTTCGTGTATGGTTTATCGACGAGATCACCGACGAAATCCGATTTTAAATAGTACGTTTTCTTCCCTTTCGTCAAACTAAACATCTTCAAAGCTTTACTTCTCGCCTCGCCTTCGCTCATCGATGGATTGAATTGTTTGAGCAATTGCTCGGCGAAATTCTGTCCAGCTCCGTATATCCTAGCGTAATTTATCACTTTGGCGTGATCTCTACTTATTCCAACGGCTTTGGCCGTTACGCTGTGCATATCAGTACCGGTTGATTTATTACCGCTAAGCGTCATCCAACCCAATGGGGTTGCCCCGTGAGAGTACGCCCGATCGGCGTCTCCAATCACCGATGCTATCCAAAGTTCCTGCGAATCGACATCGGCCCCAACGATGTTGTAACCGTCAGGCGCTTGAATCATCGCTCTTAATTCCGATCCGATTCTCTCCGATTGAGCATTCGAAGCTGTCATCCATGTCGGTTCGACGGCTCGACGGGTTAGAGTACCGCAAACGACCACTTGCGGTACGATAGCGCCCAGCCAGACGTCTGAAAACATCGAAGAATATTAAAGGAAATTCACAAACGTTTATTTGTCGTTTATTCAAACCTTTGTCGCGTAAATTTTTCGGTAGACATTCCTCGTCCAGCCACACGACCATCTGATCGAGTATCCTGTTTCTGTTGTTCCTCCAATAGGAGAGTTTTTTCGCTATTTCGAGTACTTTTTCGGCGCTTTCCGTGTCCCCTGCGAGAACGTTCTCCGAGAATTTGTTGAGGAAATCTTTAGCCAATGGATTGCCGACGTTGCGGGACGGACCGTCTTTGTGAGGAAGCTTCATAAAATAACAACAATTATCTAATTCGGTGTCGCACCAAATTCCCGAACCCCTGTACAATCCGGACGTTCGATCTCGTTTTAGACTCGCGTAATATTCCCGTTTCGATAGATTTTCTTCGACCGTTTTGCTCAGATTCGAAAGGGCTTCTCGTTGATCTCCGCCGAGTTTCGTGATTAACATCGGACATTTTTCGAGTAATCGTTTTAGTGGAATTTTAGTGGCGACTTCCAAATCGTCGGAAAAGGGAACTAGAAATCCCCAGCCCATTTCTCTAAGGTAGTGTAATGGATAACCCTCCCACGTTAACGACAATAATTTCGGTGTGATTTGCATTGAGGTGCTTATTAAAGATGGTCCTGGGACCCAATTGGGGCTCGAATCGGGTTTAGTGCACAATTTCCTGTACCAGCCTGGATAACCAGGTAGCAAGGTTTTAACGGAAGGTAAACGCTCTTTGGTCTTCCATAAATATTCAAATTTCTCTTCGAGATGATCCCTTTCTTCTTCTCCTCCTCGATCTTCGGTATCTTCGATATCTTCATCATCGTTTTTTATACATTCATTATCGCTGTTAGTTTTAGACTTTCTGATCAAACTTTTCATTTTAATATCCTTAATGTTCCAGTCTTGGTCCCACATCCATAAATCTTCTTTGTATTTTTCGTCGTGTAAGAGATTACAAGCTTGATTTGCTCTTTGAACAAGAAGGATTTTACCGGTATTCTCATAATCTTCGTAGGCTTGCTCAGATTCTTCAATGTATCTAGGCCAGTTCGAATTTATTGGTAAATAAGCGGTACTGAGTTCGAGCATTCCTATAAAAAAAATGGATTCGTTTTATTTCAAATTAACACAGGAAAAGAGAGACACATATGCACACATGTGTATTTTTACTCACCGGCTAAAGTTACCGGATGAGGAAACCTCTCGGAAAATAACGGGAAAAGGCTCTTCAAAACTTCGTAAGTAGCAATAACATCGTTACAACAATAATTCATAACCGTTTGAAAGTTATCTCTGATATCTATCATAGATCCTTCGACGAATAAATTTCTAGTTTCTTTTTTGAGAGTTTTACCGCAATATAATTTATAAACATCGACCAGATTATTTAATGAGCTGTATTGTTTCCAATCAACATCCAATTCAGAGTTTTTTTCTGATTTTAAAGCTAATCTTTGGTAACTAGTTAGTCCGCTTACGCAAATATGTAAACTCATAGTATCGATAAATCTGGTGCCTGTTCTGTTTAGCCAATATTGCTCTTTAATTTTCGATCGATCGTAAGACACATTGTGACCAATAATAACTTTAGGTTTCCTTTGATATTCGCTCAATTTAATTCCGGTCTCCTTATCATTACTTTCCAAAGGTATCAAAGAGGATAATGAATATTGATGTGTGGTAACGGGTTTACAAATACCTTCTAAGACGGAAGGGCTTACCCAACTGTACCAAGCTTCGCTACTAACAGCTGTAGCTAAGGTAGGAGCTTTTCCCGCTTTCATGCACACCTACAAAACAATAAATTCAGACTGGGCAATTCGATTGGATTGGATAAATAATTAAAAAATACCTCGACATCGAAGACAAGTGCTTCCTCACGGGGATACGGGACGATTTCGGGTTGACTTCCAGGAGCGTATCTTGTCCAACCTGGCTGCATTAGCCAATAAGTCGGAGGCGGAGGTTCGTGCTCTAGCAAGTTTAATACTAAACTTCTATATGGCTTTACTTGTTCTTCGCCGATGATTTGGAAATGTTCGACGATATTTTTCCCTTTCAACGGCGGTAGTTCGTAATCGACGTCTCGTTGAAAGTCCTTTTCGCTGCTGTTCATGTTGTGTTTCGATAGTTCCCGTTTGCATTGTTCCAATATTGCAGGATTCCCAGTGGTCTCGTGGCCTTCGATAAACACTTGTTCGTAGATGGCTTTCGATAGCATTTGTATGTTGAAATGATTAGTTCGCGGGCCGATCGTTTTTACGGAGCTCGGGACAGGAGGTTTCGCTTTCGTATTTTTCGAACGTTTGTTTGGATTCGGTAGAAATACTTTTTTAGTGGAATTCGGACGAATATCTTTCAAGTCAGTCTTTTTGCTTATATTTCGAGCTTGGAGATTCAGTGCAGGTAGAGACTTGTTGTCGAAAAATAGCGAATTTCTGGTGTGCTCGTAAATAGTATTAACGTGCTTGCCGTATTTATTCATGTTTCTTTGAAACTAGTCGAATACAAAACTGTATACTTACTCTGTATTAAAAGTATTTATTCAGTTAGAATTAAATAAACTGAAACTGGTTTTAACAAGACCGAATTAAATAAGATTTTTACTTTAAAATAACAAAAAACAAGAAATAGAGGTTATATTTGCTATTAACTGTCAATATTAAAATGTCTGTTACTTATCTGTTATTTGTCAAATGTTATATTTGACCTACTCAGTGGTAAAATGAACTTTAAATTCAATAAAAAAATAAAAGAAGAATAAAAGGCGTATGTCAACTGTCAAAATCTTTTGTTTTTCGTTTTTTGTCCAAGTAAACATTTAACATTTGAAAAACTGTTTAATTTTAATTGGGCGCGTATGGAAAATTAGTCAGCGGTAATTTACGTTTACACAAATTTAAAATTATCATGACTCAAACCGTTCCCGTTTACTCGATTTTCTCGACTATTTAATTCATCACTCGGCATAATAATTAGTTTAAAAAATGGGTGACACGGTGGAAATTCCTCTGAGGACAAAAGACTACTATAGAGCAATATTTAATAAAGTAAGTCAATAAATTATTAATCGACAAAAATCGATGAATTAATTATCAATAAATTTTTCTAATCACCATCAGTACGACAGGAACAGAGATGGATTTATAACTGTTAAAGAGTTATTAGAAATCGTAGAAAGCCGCGAGTACGATGAGGACATACCCCAATCTTGCGTTAATAAAATATTGAAAACTCACGATCGAAATTTGGACAAGAAATTGAATTTCGATGAATTCTACGAAATGGTCACCAATCCTGATTTACAACACATCTTTGGCCATTACATGAACAGGTACACTTTTACAAATCAATCAATTAATTAATCAAATTAGTAGTTATGTAGATACTATTCCTTACAATATTTATTACACTTTTACAGGTACATACACTTACTAGTACCCAAACGACACACTCCTACAACAGTCACTGATGGCCTTTACGAAGAAGAATACAGCTGTTACCCGCCTGCAGTCGGTATGATTATATTATCTCTTGTAGAAGTAATATTTTTCTGTATAGACGAAGCAACCGAGCATCAGTCTACGAATTATGCAACCGGTCCTTGTGCTGTAACGTTCATCTACGAGCCCACTCGCAGGAGAGAAGCCTGGAGATATCTCACTTACATGTTTGTGCACATTGGGTAAACAACAAATAACATTTCTATTGTATAAATACTTGAGTAAGTTATTGTTGTTTTACAGGGTATTCCATCTCGTTTTGAATTTACTGGTTCAAATACTGCTCGGTATACCGCTGGAGATGGTTCACAAATGGTGGAGAGTACTGGTGGTTTATTTGGCAGGAGTTCTGGCTGGTTCTTTGGGCACTTCTATAGTCGATCCGACTGTTAAATTAGCCGGAGCAAGTGGAGGGGTTTATTCATTGGTCACCGCTCATATTGCTTCCATTATATTGGTAAGAGGATGGTCTTCTTCCTCGTTTTGAGGAATACATTGAAGTTTGCAATATTCATACAACGTTTTAATTCTTGTAGAATTGGAAAGAAATGTCATTCCCCATTGTTCAATTACTTGTATTCCTGATAGTAGCTGCATCTGACGTTGGTACATCTATTTACAATCGATACGTGCTAGATATAGATGAACATATCGGTTATGCAGCCCATTTCGCTGGAGCTTTGGCAGGTTTATTGGTCGGTATCAACGTGTTGAGGAATTTGAGCGAAACGAGAACAGAAAGGATTATTTGGTGGATATCGATGGTGAGTTACGGATTACTTATGGGGATTTGTATCGTTTGGAATGTCGCTTGGAAGGGATATTTTCCAGCTGAGAAATATTAGATGTTACTTGAAAATACAAATGATGTTTCTTATTGAATTGACAATTGGATTTTAAGTTTTATTAAGTGGTAAAAGATGAACTCCTTTATTTTTTGAACAAAATCTACAATAAAAACGGTAATAGTTTGTTTTTGACTTTATTATAGTTTGTAGATATGTTTAATATGGTGATGGATTTTTTTCGGAAAAAAGAGAATCACTGCTTCTCACTGCTTTAAAGAAAATGGATTTTACTTGTATAGTTTATTTCATAGAAACACGAACCTAAATAAAACAAGATGCAGTGGCGTGCAGCTTTAATATCTATACATAAATAGATAAAAAAAACCTACTACTTTTAAGTAAAGAAGTTTGTATTTCCATGAAATAAACTATAGATTGATCTGTTTGAAAGATCTTTGTTTATTTATATTATAAGTATTATTTCTACTTTATTTTTTGAATATTATGGGTGAGATTTTATTTTTTTCCAATATCTTTTTCATACACGTACAATTAGTATAGTAATTATAATAAAATTGTCCAATGTAATAGTACAATGAGATTTGAAATTCAGCTATTTATAAGATATTTTTTTATTTATACACTATACTGTGTATTGTTAATTTCTGATATACAGTTTTTTTATTCCTATATAATTACATATTTTTGTACTTAATTATAATTAGATAAATCGAATATTTATTCAATAGTGTTGTTTTATTAGATAACACGAGCCACATTATTTAAAATACAAATCCTAATAATAATATTTTTTTATTAAGTAAATTGTTTTGGCGAAAAAAGTCATATTTTTAAATAATAGGTAGATACTTCTTATCGTTATTTTGGTAAAAATTGCAGTAATAATGCAATTAAAATAACCACGCAGTGCTACTAATAAATTTTAAGTTGTTTACTGAACTCTGAAAAGTGTAAATATACAACGATCTCGATGAAAATAAACCAAAAGAAAAGACCAAAGATAGATGTACAACATACGTTGTAAAGTATTTGTATAAGTACAAATATACAAATAACAAATATTACAAATTCGTTTCTTTCGGCTCGGTCTCAACATTGATAGTCTAGACATATCGTTTTTAATTTCTAAAGGTGTCAAAGGTTACGTGCATATTACTGACCTACCTTAATTTAAAAAAAAAAAACTATTGTTTCCCTCGATAGCTTATTTATAATTTTAATTTTCGGGAATATTTAATTTAGACAAAATTAAAATCGCTTTTGTTGCTAAGAGTTTATAATTTTTGTTGCTTTTTCTAATCATTTAAGCTAATAATGCACATTCAATTAAATCACTCGCTAATATTATTTAATAGCAAATATGATTTGCATACATTAATTAATGTGAATACTTGTTGGCAACATCGCATAGTAATTTTCAAAAATTTTGCAAAACTTTCCTTTGTTGAAAAATATTTTGATTATAATCGAATATTTATACATATAATTTTAACTCGTACAGTAATAATTGTATGTATATCCTTAAACTTCCTGATTGTAATTCGAAAAAAATGTAGGTAAGTTTTAAAGTGCACTTACCTACTAATTTAAGTATGAACACATTTTATCGCATTTAAATAATATTTTTTTGGACATTAGTAATTAAAAAAATATAATTTAATTGGTGTAGATCAGTAACGTGCACGCGACCTTTGACATAACACGTTGAAAAAAATGATACACGTCTAGACAATCAAATGATCGAACTGAATATACATACATATGTATGTATATCGTATGTACATTTGTGTGCACAAGCACATGTTGTGTATCCAATCTAAAATGTTTTATTTTCAATGCAATCGACGAATATTCGGTAAACAATTACCTAAAAAAAATACATACATTATGTACATTTAATTGCAATACGCTGTTTGGGTCGTGATTAAAATATTTTTCGAATTTTAATAGATAGTGTCGGCGATGCAACAACAATTTATATTGTTGACAAATAAACCTGTTTGTCGAAAAACATTAAATTGTCAACAATAAAAAAGGATAATTCGAAGGGGAATTACCCTATACTTTGGCAAAAAAAAAATATATATATATCTAGGAAAAGTGGTACGAATTAATCCGAAGCGACTAAAACTAAAGATAATCGCATGTGATGCACTTTTTTTTATCCTTTAGTAAAGTGGAACAAGTGCCAATCGACTTCCCGTTATGACACTTCCATGGCCAACTGCACCTAATCCTAACAGAACAATATCCATTTTACAAATGAAAAAAAAACAACTCAAAGCACTATATTGCCGTTTTTAGCTTTAACTGCATCATTACTGAATATATGTATGTAAATATCACGGGCGGTTCATCCGTATTTTAAAACAATTATTATTTTTGTAGTATTATAATGATCATTTATTACATTGATACTATCCACATCCATATTTTCACCTACAATTCCATCAGTTTAACTTAAATTTCTAATTTTAATACTCTTTTAAAATAAATATGGATTTATTATTAGATATTATTGTTTTAATGAAGAAAAATACACAATTGGTTTGTTTATTTTTTGAATTTTGTTACAATTAGAATGAGATGATTATATTTTATCTAATATAATTTCAATTCCCTTTAGAAACTATAGTCGAATACGCCGCTGCAAATTGAACTAGTTTTTTTTTATTCCAACGAAATATGTATGCGAGAAAATTTCGTTCCTGAAAGTATTTATCGTTTTAGTTGGTTCACTCGTTCATTTATAGGAAGCCTTATGTATGTGGAAATAACAGAAAATTTATTAAATTTCACTTTTTTGTTTCCTAAAAATGTATATGCAGGGTGATATTTTTGGGTAAATTACACACCCCAGAAAGCTGTGTTTTTAATTTTGTTATATTCTTTTATAGTGCCGAATTTATTAAATTTCGTAACGATTTTTTGATTCGACTTCCAGACGCAATGGCCTATATTTCGAATTGGATAAATGCATTCACAATTGAACGAATAAAAAGCGCATATCCTGTGAAAAAAAGAAAGTCGATTAACGAAAATATTCGCACGAACAAGAATTTTAAATTGATTTCTCCAATTGTTTTATTCAAACAATTTTAATCAAAATCAAAATAAGGCTGATTGATTGATGCGTAACGTTTTCATAACTTGTAGGTAGAAGAAAATATATAAAAAAAAATTCGCCTTATGTATTTGCTGAGGGAAAATATTTCTGTTTGCGCTGCGAATAAAAAAAATGTTCCATTTAAACAGGCGATAAAAAAACGATGCACTATCGTTTATAATAAATAATTCGGACAGTGAGAGAGAGACTTTTGACATTGTGTACCATGACCGTCTTAACAATGCGAAAATAAAAAAATAACAGGTCATTAGATGACGTTGGCCTTAGAAAAGCCACAACTAGACCACTTTATAATATCTATTTTGATTGTTCCGAAGCGTAAACTACTTAATGACATGTGAGGATAGGCCATGGTCAAGTTTAAAACAATTTCGAACATCCTCAAAATATGTTACTCTCATTTTTAAAATTATTTACTCAAAATATTGTTGGTAATAAAATATATTTTTTTTTGTTTTGCTGGAATTTCCTCAAAATGAATAATAATTTTTGATGGGTCAATTAAAAATGCATGTTTTTTAGATGCAATAATAAATAAAATGCCATAACATATGAAAGGAATAGTCCGTTAACTTTTTAATGATAAAAAATGATATAATAATTGACGAAAGGCCTTGACATTGATACCATGACCCTCTTAACAGTGCCCAAATATTAAATAATTATTCAACTAGGAAAACCGCCAAGACTATTTTGTCTAACGAATGAGGCCTACAAAACTCGTCTTTATATAGAGGAAACAATCTATTTAAATATTTTTTTTTTACTTATTTGGCGTTGTGAAACCCCAAAAAAAATATTTAATTGTTGTTAAAACTTGATGACTGAATTTATTCCATCTTTCTGTGTTGGGAATGTTGTGATATTTTGAATTTCCTATGATTTACTTTGGAAATAAAATTTCCAAGTTTTAATCCTATTGCAACATCCTTTGTCATTATTACGAAATAAGATAAAAATCGAAAATCAAACGAGGCAGTAACATTGTTAATTACACGTTGATTTATCACTTGTTTTGGGAATAGTATATTTCAATTTGTTTTATAAACCTCAGCGTGGCGAGCTCGTAAATTTCCATTTTTTTTTCCAGAATTTCGAACAGGTGCGAAACAATAGATCGTTTAATAAAATTTCGTCATAAATTTTGATGGAAAGGTGGACACGCCGGAACCTTTTTTATTGTTCCAATTAATTCGGGACTCGACTTGGACGCGATTCGATTATTTATTAATTTTTTTTAATGTTTGATATTTCTCCGAATGGTCATTTTATTTCATTACGCACACCTGGTCGTCGATCGGCTGCTTTTATTATTTTTTTTTTTATTTTTTTTAACATTATAAAATTCGATAAAATTACGTACTAACGTAAACGTCGACATTGTTTTCCTTTATTTTCTCAAATATCACGTACTTGTCGATTTTAATAGGTTCAATTTCGATTTTACGATAGAGCATGTTTCGACGATAGGGAAGTCATTACCAGGTAATTCCGAAATTATCACACTGAAAGGTTGGCGCCAACGATTAATTTATATCCCTATAAATTTATAAACGTGAAAAATCACCCGTAGGTAAATATCTATAATATTTTTTTTTATTTACATATACCTACGTATCTACTTTATAAAATAATTCAAATTTAGATTTATTTAGGTATTCATTTCGGGGTGTATTGAGGAACTTTTTTTTTGATATTTCAATATTCTTAAAACTCGTAGATATAATAAAAAGGCATCAGATAATGTTGAAGATTTTTTTATTTAGCAAAATCTAATTCACATACAAAAAGCAAAAACACATAGAAAAATCGTCAATATTCTTAAAAAGAAAATAGAACATCAGAAAATAAACTAAATATTAGTTAAATTAATTTCCTGAACGTCTCCTTTATATACAAGTAAAAACTATACAAAATAATGGATTGTTTACAAACCACACAATTTGTTTTTTATATTCACGAGATCTATTATTACATATTTTTTTACAAACATATTTACAATAAATTGATCCGATTTTTTTTTTAAATAAACGCTCTCTCCCGTCTCCGGGAGCAGAGCTTTCATTTAATATTATTGTAGAGAAAAAAAATCAACTACCAAAAATTTGAACTAAAATATTTTAACATATGTATCTACCATCCAAAAATAGTTTTAAGGCAGTTTATCACAAAGAAGCATTTTTTTTTTTGATTGACGCTTTTGTGCAAAGTTTTCTTAAAATATAGATTTTACTGGTCTTTTTTTTATTTTAAGTTACTACAAAAATAAATATAAGGTTCCTTACATATCTAAACATATCACATAAATCTATACAAAAATTATATACAGAGTAAGTCGGGAAAAATTCACCGTCAATTAATTCAGATGACCAATAATTTTTTTTATTATCTGGCAATTAACGCGCTAAAACTACTGCAGATCTACCTATCACAACGTGTCTACATTTTCAATGTAGACTCTTGTGGTCAACGGAAGTAAAATAAATAACATTTTAATCAGTAGAGTGAATTTAAAAAAAATTAAAAATTTTGTCAAAAAAATTCAACTAATTATTTATCTATACGACTAAAAATGATGGCGTCATTCAAAAATAACGTAGGTATTTACATTGATATAATTATTTTTTACATATATACACAGTGCATTTTATAAAAAAAATACCAAGGAAAAGAGAGATAGGTACTAATACTTGTCGAATCAATGTATGAAATTATTATAGTAGATTTTTTTTTTATAAATACACTGCATTATATTCGAGAATAGGAATTTTTATATGCGTCCCATGAAATGAAAATAAATTACTTTATATATATATAAAATATGGAAGGCGGATGGCACTAAATTTACACATTTTTCTTTCATTTGATAATATAGTAATTTCTAACGAATCGTGTTACAGAAGAATCGAATTATTCGTATCGTTCAGTAATTAAATCTTATTAATTACATAATTAGGAGATCATAGCGACTACCTGGTAACAATTTTCAAATAAATTACATTCACGATAAATTTATAAATTTTTTTTTAAAACAACGATAAAGCAATTCGGTTATTTTCGTTACCATGTGTCAGAAATACTGATAAATTGTATCAATTTTTATAAATTCTATTAATTATTTTTAATTAAATCGGTATATCCATAATGAACAGATTATGTAGGGAATTTGAATGTTGTTAAAGCTCTGTTAAAAGGACACCGTTATTTTATTTTTGTCACATCATCAATAGAAACTTCGATATCTCCTGTAAACCGCTTCGTTTACCGTTCAATCCCTTCATCAGACTAAAATGGTCTAAACTAAACCATCGAAATCAATCCAACAATTTTTGTTTTGTTCAAAACGAAAAACTTTAAAAAATCCCCCACATTCATACAAACCGCACCGAAGACACCATTGACACCACAACAATTCACAGCACATTTTAACAGATACAATAATTACAAACAGCCGCATCTCTCCACCACCATACCGGGCAACGATCCATACACCACGTTCAGATGGCTGTCGAAATACAACATGGAGATGCTGCCCAATTTTCTCGGCGTGCAACAGGGCGGCTGACTGGCCGGTTTCGCCACCTGTTTTAAATGAGTATGAGGGAATCTTTGCATCGTCACGTAGGGACATTCACCGGCACACATGAAGGCATCGTAACGCTTCGGAGCTATTATGAAATCCAATCCGATGGCTTCGAAATCGACAATCAACGGGTACCTGCAGCAAATCGTCTCGTTCGAGTCTTCATCGCAATTCAAACCGATGCTGCGACGCGTTCGTCTTTTCGCTTCCACCGTAGCTATTTCGACGAAGGGTACCTGTGAGAGAAACAAGCGATTCGTTATAGATGGTGTTAGAGAAATTATCGTTGATTATATACAAACCTTTTTCCCTTTATCTACGTTGATATCGGTGATGGATACCTTCTTTCCGTTGACGGTGGCGTTCACCAGGAAACCGTGGTTGTCTTTGGGACTCTTGAACCATTCGGAGACGGTTTCGGTGAGATCGATTTGCACCCATTCGCCCCTACCGCCCGGCTGATGGATCTTCTTGGTGAAGACCAAATCGAAGGCGGTCGATTCCGAATGATCGGTGATTTTCTTCACTTTAAACAGTTCGATGAGGACGTCCTGGGGCGGTCGCCTGTCCGATCCTTTGATGAAGACGAAGAGCGTCGCGTTGCTGACGTGGTATTTGGTAATACTATCGGTGAAGGAGAAGTGGAGGATGTCGCGGCCTTTATGCCTCAGTCTTGGATCTGGAACAATGCATCATACATTTTATTTGTACCTATACTTTAAAACAAGCCTTTAAACAAAACCAATTTGGCCTTTTAAAAATGCTTTTCGATACATTTTACATATATACATTGGTAAAAGATACATAAACCAGGCACATTCATACATATCTATAGGTATAAGAGTGTAGTTAGAGGAAAGTATCTCATCCAGGAAGTAATTTAGTTCCTAATTTCTTGGTTACATGCATTTAGATGTCAGACGTTGAGGCAAACAAGTTAATTTGAATGTTTGTTTGCCTATTAAATTTGTATAAGAAGGAAAAAAGAACGAAACTGGCAATTCGCGTCCGAAACTGGAACAAATATGGATTGTAGTACACTGGATAAGGTGTAAGTATATGTATAAATAATTAAAACTTTAGCAATTGACAAAATACATTGATGGTCATGCATAGTCGAGATATTGAATTCACGAAAGAAAAGCTCTAAACTAATCTTTCCATATAAAATGTATACGGTACTTGTATAATTTACATTTACCCTGGAATTGTCCTTGAAATTTATTTACGGTTCGTGTTATTTTTAAAGAAAAAAATAATGTCGTCGTGCTTCAATAATTCTAGTACATTGTTAATAACCAAGTATCGAATAATCGCTTTTAAACACACATAGACGTGCAACAAATTGATCGTTAATTGTTAAATTCGCAAGTTTACATTACAACAAATAAAACACGAAATAATTTATGAACGAATTAATATTTTTTTTTTGGTTGATTTCTCATTACGAATGATTTTCTTTGTGGATTGCGAATCGTACATGAGTTATTATTAAAAGTAATTGGTAAGTTTCGCCTCTGGAATTTTCTTCTTATCGGATTGTCTTCTAATTAATAATATGCATTCGTAGGATGACATTTAATTGTTCCAATCGATCGATTGCTCTTTATTTATAGCCGGAGAAAACTGAACTCTGACACGTCGGGTATTTTTTTGTCTTTTAAGAGATATTTTTTAATGTAATAAATACATTTACGAATGCGTGGAGTTTTTTCTTTTCTTTTCGCTTTAGGAATATGTATCTCGAAAAATTTATGTACGTATATACGAGTACAGCAAGTAAATAATCATTAAAATTGTATCTATAAATTATTTTCGAATCGTTTATTATTAATATTTGAATTAATTTTAATTTAATTAGAATTATGTAAAAACGAAAATAAGGTCAAAATTAAATCAGATTAGTTTAAAAGCGCGTGTGATAATAATGCATGACGAAATTACGATTTAATCTAGGTGACATCGTAAAGTACGAATACAAGTTCATTATTTTCGGTTTTTTTTCAAAAAAAAAAATTCCTTCCTTAAAATATAAGCGCTTTTACAAGATTAACGAAAAGTATAATAAAGAAACCTTCGTTTCAAACATAATCTTTACACGTATACAATACGAATGTTGTTGTATTATTGCACGCGTGTTTGTATGTACATATAACATATGTACTTATGTAGGTACATACAAATTAATTACACTTTTATGGGACAGGGACGTAATGCCCTAGTCAATTTCTTAACCCTCTCTGTTTTACACGATCAATATAGGTAGTAAGTACAATTATTTGCAAGGTACAAAAGTATATCCTTTCTTATAATAATACCGACTATAGTAGTAGGTATACATTATATACTATGTATGATTGTTACAGGGTAAGAGAAACCCTTTGAAAAAGGGGTTGAAAAGCACTTTCCCGTATACTATTTGCGTGCAACGACAAACGCACGCGAATTTAAACTATAACTTATTAAAGAGTGATTATCTGATGATGTTAATTTAGTTAGAAACGTATCGACTTCCTATATTACCGGAAATTTTCTTCTTGTTCTACCGTTTCGCGTAGATTTAATATTGCAAGCAAAATGAATAATACTTAACAGAAGGGTCGTTTATCGAACGACAAAGTATTAGAATGCAATTTTCAATTTTATATTGTTACGAAAAATATTTAGTAAATCTGCTGAAGAAATGAAGTTGGAGTCGAAAAAGTTTTCGTAATGACTTTGAGAAAATGAACAACGATAAAAATAAATTATTATTCATTGTTTTTAACAGTCATTTTGACAGTTATTTTACATCCGTTTTATTTTATTTGCCGAAACATCATTCATTCATTCATTCAAAGTTGCAATATTTTTCCATTACTTAAATTACATCTTATTACGCTTGCATTTTTAATTTTTCGTGCAATTTATTTCGAATAGAAAGATGCCATTTCGAAAAACGATTGCTAATATTTTGTAAACAATTATTTTTATGTAATTTTAATTTAGATTTAGTTAATGCAAATTTATGAAGTTGTTTTTGATGTATTTAAATTTTTTTAATAAAAAAAACCCAAAATTTCCCAACATTACAGTACTGTAGTTACATAACATCCTGTTAAACGAGAATAATATACCTGCTGTATATTTATATGATGTGTGTGTATCTACAGGAATAATAGAGAAACATTGATTAAAATTATGCGAAAATTCATGCGAGTCCTATTAAAATTTTACGATTGACGCTTAGCGATGAGAAAATGCCGAATATAGCAAGGCGCAAAAGAAACAAAAAGAAAAGAAAAAAAATAAAGAATAAACGAAAGAAACAATTTAAGCGTTGGGGTACTTAAAGCACTTAGAAGACGTCCATGAACCTGCGACACCAATAAAAATTTACAACCGCAAAAATAAACTCATTGTGTTTTGTTTTTCTAAACGCACCACAACGTTAAGTTAAGCCGTTTCTTCAGGTTTTTTTTTTTTCCTTTTTTTTTTTTCATATAACGATGACGTTTCATGTCGTTTCTTTCGTTCTTCTTCACCTTTTTTTTTTTTGGTTTACACATACGTACGCATATACAGGGTGTTCTAAAATGACATGCTAATATTGTAGGGGGTGGTTTTTGGACCCATTTTCCTATATAAGGTCTTAACTGTTCAGATAGAGGGTGTTACAGTTATAAGAAAAAAATCAGTTTTTTGTAATAACTGCGATACTATTGTAGATATCTTTATGAATTTTCATTATGGAACACCCTGTATATGGAATATACCTACATACCATACATACATATATCGCGTGAGTTCGGTGCATCGCTCGCGAATTCCTCTCTTATTTTCTTCTCTTCTTATACAATGAGTGCATTGCCCAAAAATTCGTTCACATCCTGTATGTGCGCGTCCGTAATTGCATAATAGTTTTATTTTTTTCGAATTGCCGCCCAACTTTCTGACCTTGCAATTCGAACCCTTCCGGAGGTCACTCGACAAAAAGTTACTCAAGTGTTACTTTTATTAGCCCCACACTAGTGTATTTTTTCATTTTAATTTTTAGAAAATGATGCTACAGAGGTGTCATAAATTAGGGATTTTAATTCACTCAAAATGGGCATTTTTGATTTTATCTTCTTTAATAGATTTCTAGTTTTTGAATGGCTCGAAATAAATTCTTACGCGTTTGTAAACAAACGTTCGTCTATCGGTAAACGAATCCGTTAGAAAAAGACTATTTAACCAGAAGTAGCGCTTGATGTTGTATAATTAATAGCCTTGCTGATATGCCATTCAGTAGATACCTAAGTATATTCAAACAATCTATAAGGTGATGATTTATCTTATAGGTAATATGTATGGTATATGCGATTTATCTACAAATAGATAGATAATAATTTTTCTTGTGTGATAACTTTCTTTTCTGCATATCCTGATGCGCTGAAAACAGAGCAATCTAATGGATAGATTGAATGAGAAAAGCTCCAATTTATCTGTTAATAAAAGATAAATTTGTGGATATCATTACATACCGTTTCTATATACATGACATTTTCTGTAATCGATGATTTTTTTTTAAATATTTTAACAACACCCTTATCATTATTATAGTGCGTTAGAATGTAGATCTAGTAAGATATACGGTGTGTCCGATTATAATCCATAAAGAAGATTACCGAGTGATGGAAGAGGAAAAGAGGGACGGGTCCAGCATATGTCCCATCATGTCGATCGCAGGAGAGATTCAAGTGCATTATTGTTTGCATTTGCAATTGTATGGAGGGGTCAGTGTTTGGGTCAGTGCAGGACAGCAGGCCGACATCAAGGTCACCGTTTTTCACATCGAATCGACTCTACATTCACCGGTCGGTGTCGGTACTTTTGTCTTTTGTATAATTGATAAAAGCGAGAACGAACCGATGCCGATCGACGATTATAATAAACGATTTTAATAATGTATACTAGATAATGACCCAATGTAATATACATGTAGCTACATATGTGGATGAAAGCGAAAGTTCGGACGGATCTTTTGATGAGTTTTTCGAAACGAAAATTAATAATAATTTTAAATAATACTTTCGTTTACCTAATATTTCTGTAAATTTCTTCTATTGTTGCGATGCACATGCACTCGATTAAAAGCGTCAAGGAAATCGAATTTTAAATGATATTTAAATTTCGTTAGCAGGTGGAAAGAGCCACTTATAATTATACTCATATATTTTTTTCGAATGTATATTAGTGCAAACGCGCGTTCCTACTTAATTGACATTCAACAGTTGCCTTTCTTATTCATTTATCAATTCATCTAATCAGCGGCGTGGTAAATTTTAAAAACAAACTTCTCACATTTCTGGGGCTGAAAAATTTAGAAAAATATATCAAATTCTGCAGGTAAAGGATTGTCTACAACCCTTTTTCCTACCACACTGCCATTATATCCGATAAATCATCACAGATGCCTATCTCAAGAACGCTAAACAGCTGTTTGCTCTTTAACAACTTTAATTTTTGGTATATCCTGGTTGTTTTTTTTTTGTACCTACATCTCGAATACTTATTCAAAATGCGCTTTTATTACCTGCAATAAAAAAAAACAGCTGAGAAATGAGGCGCCTCTCTTAAAGGGTTAGACACTTTTTAGCCCCGTCATCTGTCTTTCACAACAGGGGTGGATTTCGAATGTTTCATTTGGAAATTTAAATTTTTATATTTATATCGTAACCGATCTAAGTATTATAAAAAAATCTATAAAAAAAAACACAGTGAGATGCTTATCGCCGATTTTCTTTAATTATAACTTTACCCTTTTATAATAACACAGTGCAAAATGTATCTTATGAATACTGATTTTTTTCCACTCCTCCTTTACAGTTTGCAGTTTTTGCACTATTAAGGTTTTTTTTATATCCACATTAAGTACCTAATATAATTATAGAGCGCTCTTGATAATTCGAGTTAACGAAAACACTTTGATTTTGCATTAGGATCTATATACCATTTAAATTTGAACAATTTATGAAAGGTATATGGGAACATTCTTTATCCACATCAGAAAACTCCTCAATTTTCCCACAATCGATCCATTTCAATAAACCAATAACGATTAATCCACCAAACAGCGAATAAGTACAAATTCAACAGATTAGAAATCCTTTCGTCGGGTCCCGATTAGTTTGCAATAAGTTATTTTAAAAAAATGTACTCACAGGTCAACGGCGATTGTTGTTGGGGTCAAGCAAAAGTAAAGCGCCTCTCTGGCCGATATATTTTACCTACGAGAGTGTCGAGGATACGCGCGAAAATCTAAAAATAGTGCGGAGAAAGCGATCGGTTCGAAATAGAAGAAGGAATCACTCGCGAGACATCAGAACTACAATGGATGATTCGGTTAGCTAAAGAAATGGATTGTTTATAGTCGAAAGTGTAATTATGGACGGTTTAATTGGTATCTAGACTTTTTTAAAAGTCCCTAGATTCAATTGATAATCAACTTTAACCATCAAGAAACGAATAAGTAATGGATGTAGTCCTAATTCTCCTAATTCTAATTTTCAATGAATTTTCCTTCAAAATCTTTAATGGAAAAACTGTACCAACCATTGGACTTTTAGGTACCTATCAGAAATCAAATCAATTCTGACATATAATCAAAATATTTTCCTGCACTTTTTTTTTTCGAAAAATTTCTCAAAAATATTATCAAATAAAATTAGTATGTATCGTTGGTACTAAATGCAGGTACGTCAGAGATCAGACATATCCTAGACGTATCGTTTTATTAGTTCGGCCTTAGAACATATGTTCATTTTAATCAGATTAAATCGCTACGAAATATTAGGAACTAAAAGTGTTACACTTCGAAGCACGCGCTTCGAATTGTTATTATTATTATTATTATTATTTATTATTATTTACCTCGTTCGAAAACGAAATTACAATCCGAAAGAAACTTATAAAGTCTACTATTTAAACCGGTATAGGAAGTAGTGTAAAATGTCCTGCTACATTTTAGCGATAATAATTAAAATTATTGATCGTTATAATTAACCATTAAACATATCGAATAGTATATTACTTGTAATCACCTTATCGGATAAATTACTATTTAGAAAGTTGAAACAATTTGTTTAATAATGCAATAATAGCGAAACGGTTGTTTATTTATAGTTTTGAGGCGTATATCTATTTTTAGTAATAATGTTGCTAAAAATGGGAATCTATGCTGTGTCGGTTTATCTCGATTTTATTATGTAAGTTCGTAATCGAATATTTTGTGTCGTTTAAATATTATTAGATATAAATATACTATACTCTATAATATTATGTTATTTTGCGGTTTTTATACGCATACAATTATTTGTACTTTTCATCGATCAAAATTAATGTAACATTTATTCAATTCGTTTCAATATGAAATATTCAGAGTAATAATAAAATAACATTTATAGAAACTATCGTTAGTTTCGATTTTGGAAATTCAGCAAATTCGGAATTCGTTATTATACGTTCGATGTATTTTGCATATCCAAATCGCAATTAAACTTTGACCTAGTCTAAATTCAAAGATATTGTGCAAAAAAAATGATTACTTTTTTAAAACAACAAAAAAAAAAGTCCATTTGTAATCAATCGCACTCTCACTTGGTTACAGAGGCTTTCTACATGATGCATCATTATTAAATCAATTTTTTTTTTTGTTAATTGTTTCCATTCATTCACACGAAATCGATGAATTACTAATAACTAGATATCACGAAAAAAAGTTTTGAGGTTTCGATTTAATTAGAAAAATTATTGATTCAATTTAAATTATGTCATTCGTATAACCTAGATAATAAGCAACATTTCTGATGACTCTATCGAATTTACAGCACGTGTTTAATGATAAGCCCAAGTTTTCTAGTTTTTAGAGTTACTTACAAAAATTTGTTTGATTTTCCTATCAATCAAAAATAAATTTGAAATTTTATTGTTGCATCATAACGTACAGGGTGTTCCGGAAATATTTTTAATCTGATTGATTTTAATTTTTCATACATACCAAATTATATTGATAATTTTGTATGGAATTTCATACAAACAAAACATTATATTGATGTTATTTTATTATCGATTAGATAGTATAAGATATAAGAATTATTTTATTAAAGAGTCTGCTCTTATTTGTCTAATACCTGGTGTTTCATATTTCTTCTACCAAACACTCTGTATACAAATGAATACGAAAAATACGAAAAAATGGCATGCCGATATCCACCTACATGTTTTACATGTGAAATTTGATTTTTTTTTATAAAACAACGGTTTTTTCTGCAACATATTAAAATAAATTAGAAATTCGCATAAATAATATTCGGTAATAACACGTGTGTCTATTTTTAATAAATCGAATTTTGACCGTTTTATTTATTTTTTTTTTGAAGTCAAGTTTCGTTCGAATTATCTAATATCTAACGATTTTTCAAAAAAAAAAAAAAAAAAAAAGAATGTTCGGAATGTTTGGTGTCAAAAATTATTGTGCTTATATCAAAATCGCGAAGGTCGTTTAACTAATGGATTTTTGCAACGGATTTTTAAAATAAATTATAATGCACATTTTTCACTACTTGATTCACTTTAATTAATTTTAATTGGTAATTAATATGCATGAATAATTGCCGAACTAAGGGCGGCAAAACGGTGAAATTGACATTCACCTGTCGAAAGTGAAAATCGATTTAAGACGACTTTATATACGATAATAATTCAATTAACAGGAATTTTTCGATTCGAATAGATCGAGCGAGTTATTTATGAACAAGTTTAGAAATTGTTTGCATTATATTCGAAAATTTATCAATCCGCATTTTCATGCAGCTACTATATGCAGCCGGTTTATCTAAATCCTTTTCGTTTTAATTAGTAAAAGATAATTACTTAATTAATAACATAAAATAAATTTCGGGTATGTAAAAACATCAATTAAAACTCTTACCTAATACATTTTTTTCCTAGTAATTTTTCCGCATGCTTTACAGATTCATCGATAACGTAACATTCAATAATTTCTGTTTTGATAGATTTCAGTAATTGAAGCATATATGTTAAAAATTTTTGTTTATGTGTAATTTCTTCGAATATTTACATATACAAATGTACGTCGATTTGTTTAAATAAAATTGTTTTTCGTTTATAGTAATCTATAATGTAGATTCGATCAAAAAAAAATTTTTGGGGCATCCATGTCAAGTACCTATCTATAAATAGTTTCTCGTACAAAGAAAATTATTTTTTTATAATGCTTATATACGTTATTCGAGGACTATTTTTACCTATTCGAGTATTAGACATATTCCAATTTGAACGGTTCGTTAAGCGAAAATTGAAATTGTATTCATCCTTTTTAATTGCTCGACCGTCTTTTTCACAACGGAACTTTCGAGCAGGTACAAAAAAGGAAGAAGAAAAAAAATTGTTTAAATAGGACAATAGCAAAGGGTTGGTGAGTTTTTTATGCATCTAACCGCCGATATTATATTTTTCACGCTATACTCATGCATACAGGAAAAGGTACACACCACATTGTAAATTATATCTCATCACGGAAATTGTTTCAAATGAATATATTGTAGCAATTAACTAGATAAAGATTGATTGATTAATTTTATAGCATTTTTAAACTATTGTAGATTAGGCGTTAATTAATACTACTGATGAAATTTGGTATATCAAAGTTTGATGTGTTTCATAAAATCAGAATATACAAAATAATTGGTGATTTAATAAATACACAACTGTTCCACTCGGTAAATTATAATATTCATAGAACTTTAAAGCTCAAAAACGTACCCAAATGACCTATTTTTATTTACTTGTAAATACAATATTTTGTTGTATGCAAATTCTCGCACAATTTTGTCGTTATTTTACCCGTTTCTGTCGTGCCGAATAGGTATATTGTAATAAAATTTAGAGTAATTAATTAAAGACTTACATGGTTGGGCGAAAGCTAAAATTTTCTCCGTCCTGACGTGATAATCATCCTCCTCCTCGGTGACGGTGTAACCGCTTTGGAAAGCCGGTTGATCGCTTTGCATGCCGCCGTTTTCCTCTTCGATTTTCATGAAAAGCTCCGAGGGAATTTGGGGTAACGGTTTTCCGGTGATGTTGGGCGCCTTCTCGAAACCGATCCGCCTCAGGATTTCGTCCTTGATGACGAGCAAATTTCTCTGTTTGATTTCTTCTCGCATCCTGCAACTGTGACAACCGGCCGTTCGACGGGGTTCTTCTGAAGCCCCCGGTTCGGGGCTTCGCCTCTTCAATATCGTATTCGATCGGTGTTTTTCCGTTATCGTGTACGGTATGAGCAGAGCCAGCACTAAATACGTTAAAATTGTTCTCGTTTCGAGCGATTTTCTAATATGAACTAGACTGTTTTTCGTCGATTCGCTTCTAATTAGTAACATGTTTTCTCTTTCTTCTAATTGTATGTTTAAATAAACAAAAAAAATAAAGTCAGTCGATTCGTATTATATAAGGTATATATCACAAAAAAATTGAGTCGGAAATTTCGCTATCACAAAGTCCGGATTGATGAAATTCGATCACAATTATCGATTTATTCGAGAAGAAAAAAAACGAACTAAAGAAAAAACGAATTATTCAAAAACGCGTTATCACATTTTTCGTTTTTAGTTTCACTTTTTTATCACTCATGTCTTCGACAACTGATTATGAGAAAATTAAAATATAGAGAAAAAAAAATTATAAATACTGACAAATTTTGCGGAGCAAACTTTTCGCTGATCACATTCGACTTTTTTCGAAATAGTCGCGTTTTCGTAAAAAGTAGATCACAAGGGCATCACAATTCGGTTTTTGGTCACACTATCAGTCATGGGTGGTGTTGGTGTTGTGGTTGTTTTTTTTTTTTTTCGTTGATCTCTTATGCGTGCTTGTACTTTTCTCTTTTTTTGATAAAAAAATAAAATTGATTCCGGTTTTGTTTTGTATCAGCCGGTATTCGATGAGATTATTTTGTAGTCTTGGCCCGCGCACTTTTTTTCTCTCTTTCTGTGCTCTTTTAAAGATGTACAATGTGCGAGCGTGTGTAACATGCACTAGAGTTTCAAAGCATAAGACGGCCCTATATATGTTGCGTGCGTCAGGATAATAATTGATAGTTTTACCAGTTCGATAAAGTCGTCGAGTTGAACCACTCTCGCGTTCTACAGGGTGTTGCATTTAACCCGCGTATACATATATAATAACGATACGCTATACGTTTCTTATGCTTTTTATCGGTCGCGTTTCGTATCGAATTTAGTATTTGAACGAATAAATTTAGTTGAAAATTATTGGGTTTTTTTTTCGATTTTATTTTAAATTTATAATTTCACTTTTTCTCTCACCGTATACACAAAGGATTGATTTATGATTTACGTTATTTTCCTAATTTAACAACTTTGTAACATTAGGACATCTGGTATATAACAGTATAGCATCAGCCATAGTAAACAATAATTTTTTGCCAGTTACTTTGTATAATTAGTTATAAGGAATTAGAAAATTAAAATTGTGGAAATTTGCTCATACTCTCATTACCGTCATCGTATCTTGGAAAATTTACACATGCTTCTATTCTTGTCACATTAAGTTGAATTTTTTTTAATTCACTCAAGGTGTGATAGTAGGTGTACAAATAGATGTAAAAATACCCAAAAAAAAATCGTTAATAATAAACAAATATATTGCGAAAGAAGCTTAATTTGTTTATTTAACACCTTGCCGGGGAATCACGGCAAAACCTAAAAAAATTCAGAAGCTATTTAGTACCTATCTGTAGACATAATTCGTTGGAATTACATAATTAATTTTCTTATACACGATTAATTCTCGTGTAAATCTAATTAACTCCCATAGGTACCTATCTAGTTAATTGACTCTCCGGAACATCATCATGAACTGATTCTTATGGGGTATAATAATCGACTCTCTTAGGTAAACAATCGACTCTATATAGGAACAAAAATATTTTCAATTTCATTACGAAATAAATGACGAAATTATACGTTTTTTATGTATTCTTTTTGGCCTGCGTCCGGTTCTCTAATATCGTCAAACGATATTGAAAATTTGTTGCTAATCACAATCGACCATTGTTTGAATTATTAAACGTATTTAAACACTAATTCGCGTTTGATTTACTATCAATACCTAATAAATGCATAATCTATACGTATGAACTTTCATCGATTGTATTATTAATGTTATTATTATTATTATTATTACATCGAATCAATTGAACGAATTAAGAAAAACTTGTGGTAGGTATAGGTTGGTATTTTTGATTTTTTTTTGGTTAGGTTAATTTGTGATTTAATTTAGTTTGACCTAGGCACGTGTGACTTCGATTAAATTCGATTAATGAATGAATGGGAACAATGCGAAATATCCATATTTATGTTAAAAATCGTTTCATTCAATTTTTTTTGGTCTAGTCTATTTATAACGGATGATTTAAGTGCGTAATTAATGTGTAGGTGGTGATTTTTTTCCAAAATTGATCTGTTGTTTTATTTTCAAAATTTCCATACCTACTATTTATGTACATACTTGTATCAAGGTTTTCCCTTATAACACCAATGTAAATATTTAAAGATTTATAGAAAGGGTTTTTGCAGTTTCTTTTTATCATTCCATAATAATAATTTTTAAAAAGCGTTATTTCGAAATCGAAACATATTCGATCGAAATGTTTCAAATTCGATTCATTTATACGAGAATATTTAACATAAGTTTTTGCACTCGAACCGTGTTGTTCACCTAGTACAAGTCCGTTAACAGGGCGAAAATAAATAAAAAAATTCACAAGTTGAAAAACTCTATTCGGCACGCGAACTTCGGATGCATTTCGACAGGTCCGTATTCCCTGTAAATTATTCTTTTAGAAATAAATATTCCGCAGAAATCTGTCTGTTAATATAATTATTGAAATTCGACGAGCAAAAATATTTAGTGACACATTTACCTAGATTTATTATTGTTATTCCTTCGAATAACGCAGATATTGTTTTATGTGCAATTAATAAAAAATTACGCAATTCTCATCGATTTACTGTGGGGAGAAACGGTGGTATCGTATTATATAGCAAGTATATCCTTTTCTTCTACCTCATATTACTCTGTGTATTGATAAATTGCAGTTTATAATAGAGAAGTTTGTGTTTGTAAAAAAAATTCGCCAGCTCGCAAACATCTTGAATTTCGTCTAATAAAGAAACACACTGCAAATAACTATAATTTAAAAGACATCGAACAATAAAAAAGAAATATTCCGTCGATTCAAATTCAATACCTTTACGCAATTGAAACATTAGGTATATAAATTGGAGATTTCTTTCGGATGCAAAAAGGTTATCGAGGTTACTTCGGTGTTAACGAATTAAATTATTCAAGTGCAAAACCGCACACGGGCACATATTACATCCTCTCTCTACCGGTGAAAAATTATTTCCTTTGCGAAAAATTTGCCAACCAAATGATATTCAAATCGCCTTTTTAATCTCTTTTGGGTACAATTGAAACAACTACTTATATGCATGTACATCCACGTGCTCGCCTAGGAAATGCAAATAATTAACATATTTTATGAAATTTAGATTCGCAATTAGGGAGACACCTGATGATCTATGCAATTCGTTCAACGGAACTTTTATACAGATCCAGAATATATACAGGGTGGTTCACTATTAACTAAAAATTATGCACTAATTACTGCTCGATAAATTAGATTAGATCAGTTTAAAATGTTGTATAAAAAGGATCGCCCTGTAGATGGGTTTAGAGGTTAGAAATTTGACCCTAAGTGACTTCGAAAAAGCAAAGGGTTGATGGCTTATTAAGTTGTTTTTTTACCTGTTATTTTTTTTGTTTCATTTCGGGTTAAAAGAGCAGGTAGAAGCCGGAATATTTAATGCAAATTCTATACGCGGTTTACATGCCAAGCGGTTGGTACATTTGATAGGTATACATATCGAATTTTTTTCTCTTTTTTTTTACTTCTTCTTGTTTTCGTTTCAATTTCGTTTTGTTCTCTTTTCGTTATTCGGAAGATTGTTATTTTAGAACTAATAAATTCCATTTTGAACAGGACCGTATTCAACACTAATGCCTATGCATATTAATCTAGTCTATTAATATTAATATATTCTTGTATATTTTTTGATGCCATGTGTGGTACACCTGCTGAATTTTACAAATTCGTATGTAACTATGCAATTTAATTTAAATATAATTCTAAATATATTTACGTTTGTACGTAAGAAAAACGAAATAAACGTGGGACCTTTTCAAACATAAATCTCTAGGAGAGGCGCCACATGCACGTTAAACGCTCCATCTATTTCATAAATATGCACGCCAAAAAAATCCCAAGGAATTTAACCGGTCGCGTTTTTTAAACGAGCGAATATCGAAAATCGAAAACTTTTACAATACAGAGCGTTCTCGAACTTATGGCGCTAAATTCTAGGGGCGGTTATAGTTTGCATAAATTTAAGATCGTTTGGCAGATTTCGTTGTTCTAAAAAAATTATAATAAACAAAATAGGACCGTTAGAAATAAATGCAAAGAGCGAATACAATCCTGGTCTAAATAGTCCAGGGTCCAGGTCCACCCCCAAGAATTTAGTGCCATAAGTTCGAGAACACCCTGTATACCTATATCTACTATACATACATATGTATATAGATAATATAAATTTTTTTTCGGCGACCTTGTAAATGTGCAACTCGCGTCAATCATGACATACTTAAAAATGAAATTTCAATATGCGCTCATATTGGACAAAACAAAAAAAAATTCGTGAGTACCTATAGGTGTATATAAATAAATAAGGCGGAATGTAAATAAAAAAAACGGACGAAATAAGAGAAAAAGGCGCATAGCATATACATAAGCATAGCTTTCGGGCGATTATGGCAAACAAGTTTTTTTATTAAACAAAACGAAATCGCTTTTTGAGGTCCAAGCGAATTAATGGTGGAAAAAGTCGATGTCGACGAACGTCTCATTCAACTGGTCCGCAATAATAAGAGATTTTTTGCCAATTTAATAATAAGGTGTATCATGTGTATTGTAATTGACTGACTGCATTTTAAAAAAGACCTTAAATCCTCCGCTCTTTTCGAAATGCCGCTCGCTATGCCATTTTATTTACCATCCATCAGTGGTGGAACGAACGAAAAATTTCTTTTTCTTCATCAAAATACACTCAAAGTTGAGAAATATTTGTTTCTCAACAATTGAAATTGGTGAGAAATAAATGAGATAATTCATACACAATTGAGCTTAGTTTTGAGACATGTTTTACGCATAATTGGTAAGATAATTGAGAGATTGATGATCATTGTGATGTAGTGAAAATACATCATAAAAAATTGTACAGGGTGTCCCCGTAAAATAGACCGTATTCGAACGCCACTGGGCCGTAATCTGATTAAAAGTCTATAACGTGGGTGTTCTGGCATATCAATTTTTTTTCGTTTTTTTTCCCCCCCCGTTTTGTTTTCGATGAGGACCGTCACTAACGAGATTTCTCGAAGATGAAAAGACATTGAATTTGCGTTGAACAAGTCGCCGCTCGTTTTACATAAATACATAAAGGTCTCGATTTCTCGTAATGATCGCGAAAAAAAAAAATATCGATTGTGCTGACGCGTTCATACATTGTATTATGTATCAATAAATGGAAAATAGATCGATTCTCTTGGGTAGATAATTATGTAGACTCTTTTACATAGCCAATCATTGATTCATAGAAGTTTTAGATTAGTCCAGAGATGGTCAAATCGGGTCTCCGGGCGGGTCATGTTTTACTAACACCTTTCCACCAATCCCTATATATTTCGAAAAAAAAAATTGATATAGGCACAATTTAGCGGTTTTTAGGTGTTTTCTGAATTCACCATTTACAAGAGCAAATTGTCTAAAACCGTTTCAGTTGTACTCCGAGTATATATATATATCTTCCAGTATTTATTTAAAATCGTCGCCACAGTTAAATGCAGGGGCATTGTAATAGAGAAACGATCCATTTAATAATGTA